CGATCCCGCTGTCGAGTCTCTTTCCCTCTCTCGACTCCGACGCGTGGAACGAGCTGCGTTTCCGCAAGTCGGCCATCGAGTTCTGGTCGAGGCCTATTGGGACGGAGCCCGCCGGGCTGTACCTGCGCACCGAGATCGAGCTCAATGGAGCGCTAGACGGCGTGTTCCAGGTTTTCCGGACCGTCCTCGGGGAGGCGGTGCAGCCCGTCCTGCGGCTGTCGGCCTATCTCGGGGTGACCATGGAGCAGGATCAGACCATGGCCATCGACGGGGTTTCCCTGTCCGGCAGCTTGATCGGACTGCGGACGCCCCTGCCCCCGGTGCTGGAGCTGGTCACCATCCTGTCGGTGGGCTTGCGCCTCAACGTGGGCAGCACGACCAATGTGGTCGGGGAGACCAGCGCGGTACAGGCCGGCGTCTTTGGAGATCTGCAGATCCAGTTACCGGGCCTGACGGGGTCGTTGCAATTAGAATATGAAGCGGATCTCTCCGAGGATTGGCTGGAGCTCAGTATGACCATCCCGGGCAACAAGAAATGGGAGAACGCGCTGGGAGCGGACTCGTTCCATGTGAGATGATCGCGAGACCTGGCCTTCCGTAAGAGTTTCCAAAGCTAACAGCCCGCACTCACCAGCTCGACGAAGTCCGATTCTTCGCAAAGATCCCTCTTCACACAGCCGCCCCAGCAGACACAACAACCACCTCTGGGGATATCAGCTCTGATGTTATCGCTCGCCCCGACCCGCAAACCCTGCTTTCCATTGCCGCAACAGCCAGATGGAAAGGCTCCGACGGGGCAGATGTTGGCCTGAAAGGAGTGATTGTCAAAGGACGACCCGGTGAGTCTAAATTGCATCAAAGCCTGGTTTGCCGCAAGATCTGATGTTCAGTCAGATCTCTCGTTTCTGGAAGGCCATATTGAAAAGGTCACATGGTCCGACATCAAGCGCCTCTTCAGCGATGTGCACAGCCGGAATCTCGACGACACCGAGCATGAGATTACCTGCGAGAATCTCACGGTGCGGATCTCGCAGGCTCAGTTCCTTCTGCAGGGGTCCTTGACGATCAATGGTCGAGCGCTGGCCAAGGCCACGATTGCGATCACGCGGGCGGGCATTGCCATCACGGCCGAGGTGGACAGGTGGGAGGTCGGCGACGGCCTCGTGGTCATCGAACATGCCGCACTGATCTTGCTGGTGGGCAGCAGCGGCGACAAGGACAGCAGTGCTCCGCGTCAGCCGGAGGATGAACCGCCCTCCAAGAGACGACGGACCACGGGCGGTCCGGAGAAGGAGAAGAAGGGATGGAGTGGGTCCTTGGAGGTGACCGGTCGAGTGCTCATCCACACCGATGGACAGCAAGGCAAGAGTGGACATCCGCCAGTGGAGGTGGATGTCACGCTGGCCATGGGCAAACAGAACCAGGAGTGGTTCTGGGTGGTGTGCGGCCACCTGAAAGCCGATCTCTCCTTGAGTCGGTTTGTGTCGGCCATCGACGAGGACTCGGACATCGATCTGCGTCTGAAGGAGATTTCCTTGATTGCTTCGAGCACGAACCGTCCCACTTGTAGTCTGGACACAAATGGCTATACCATTCAGCAAGGCAGGTTATCCACCCTCACACGTTCTGTTCCCTTGCGAGATGGAGACTAACAGCAATGTCGTGAGATTAGGGTTCTATCTTTGTGCCAGGTTAGAGCAAGTACCGCTGCTGCAGATGGGCGACATGGTGAAGAAGCCCGCGGCGGGGGATCAATCGTATCTCAGCCTGGGCTGGGCCAAGGGGTCTAGCATTCCTTCCGTGTCCATCTACTTACCTGAGTCATTGAAGGTAGAGTGTTCCACATTGCTGCCCTGGTCCATGGGGGAACCCGAGGTGCACCAAGGCTAACACAGTGGTTGTGCGGGTAGATCGAGCTGGGGCCTCGGTTCCGGTCTCGTCGCTTCCAGCTTTCCCTGGGCAGCTCCGCGACCGGTGGAGTGGCGTTTGCATTCCGCGGCATCTTCGATGTCAAGGTAGGCGACGACAACAGCTGGTACAAGTTTGACCTGAAGATGGCCGTGGATCCGATCGGTGCGGATGGCGAACTGTAAGCATGCGAACCTGGATGTCCCAGTGCCATCGATAACGCTAACTCCTTTTGCCATTCTAGCTTCTTCGACGGCAATATCAACAATCCGTTCGGCCTGAGCAAGCGATTGACGATTGGTAAGCTCATAGTTCTTCTCTGTCTCTGAAAATGTGATGGACCGAGAAACTCACCAGACCTTCTCTATCTCCAGGACCAAGACTGGGCATCGGACTGAAGTTCAACTGGGCCCAACTAGCCGCCTCGGGTCTGCCTATCGGAGCTGGCATCAAGGGAAGCCTCTACCTGGATGACAACGTAGACAAGCCCTATGACCTGGTGCTCTACATCTGCGAGGATCCGCGTGACATGGTCATCAAGGCCGAAGCCCCGGCAATGGACTACACCGAGATCATCCAGTTCGTGGCCGCAGCGATGGATACCCAGATCCCGACGACCGACGTGACACTCTTCCGCTTCCAGGACGTGCTCATCTACGCCAGCATGGGGGCCACCTTTGGCGGAGAACACTATCCGGCTGGCTTCCGTTTCAAAGGCGGGCTGACCATCTGCGACCACGAGGCCGCCATGGACGCGTCCCTGACCACGGAGGGTCTGCGGCTCAAGGCGTGGCTGCAGACCTTCCGACTGGGGCCGCTCAGTGTCGGCGGAGATGTGGTCCTGCCGGGCAAGGAGGGGACCTTCGCGCTGCTGGACATGGAGCTGACCCGGGAACGGCAGGCGTTTGTGCTGAATGGGTTCGTGGAGCTCTTCGACCTGCACGCGGCGGTGGACGTGCATATCCAGCTACTGCCCGCCCCGATATTCTACTTCGACTTCGAGATGCAGTGGAGCACCTTGCTGGCTATCAAGGCCAAGGCCGAAATGGTCGGGGGCACCAACCTCATGTGCAATCCCCGCGAGGCCAGCTGGGAGGTCAGTGCCGAGTTCGAGCAGACAATCATCCAGGAGATGGCCCGCAGCTTGGAGCGAGCTCTCAGGGCCGTGCACGAGAAGGTCGAGGCCAAGATCAACGGTGCCAAGCAGGCGGTTGCGGACGCGGAGCGAGTCTACAAGGAGAAGATCGCCAAGGCACAAGCAGATTTGGAAGAGGAGCGGGCCAAGTACCAGGCCGAGAATGACCGACTAGACCAGGAGTTGGATCGTCTGGAGCGGGAAACGCAGGCCCAGTCTGCCGTCCATCGCGACGCGGTCTTCGAGAAGAAAAAGGAGGAGTCGTCTGCCGTGGCAGAGGCCGAGACCGTCCGCGACCACACTATCCACGAGGCCAATGCGGAGGTTCAAGAGAAGGAACGGGCCTTGAACAACGAGGAGTCGCGAGGAACGAGGGAGCACAACGACGCCATCTCCGACCGCGAACGGAGGAGACAAGAATTCATGGCCAAGTTTGGCGATGCCGAAGCCGCCGTGCAGCGCGCGCGGGACAACGTGGCCAATGCCAAACGTAAGTGGAATGTCCCCGGTCTCTACCCTGGCGCATTGGGCTCTAACCCGGTGTATTTATACTTTAGGAACGGTCGAGAATCTGCGCAGTCAAATTGATGGCCTGGAAAACAGACTGAGCGGCCTGCGATGGTTCCAAAAGGCTCTCGCCTTGGATACAGTGCGTCTTACCCTAGCCTCCGACTTTTCCCTCTCGTGTATCTAACTGATCCTTTCTCGCTCCCAATAGCACCTGCAGATCGCCGCCCTCGGGATCCAGTATGGAACCGCCAAGGTAGGTCTGGGAGTGGCGGACGGAGCCCTCGAGCTAGCGCAGAAGATCATGCAATCTCAACTATTCCACGACCTCACCCAGGCCCTGCACCACGCCTGCGAAGCGGTCGAAACGATCAAGCGGCAGGTGGACAACGCCATCAACGCCGCGCGGGACCACCTGCACAACGCGCAGAAACTGCTGGATGTCGCCAAATCCGCCGCGCAGGGCAAGTTCGACGAGGCCCGGCGGCAGGCGCGCGAGATGGTGGACACCGCGCAGAAGATCCACGACGACTACGTGGAGAAGCAGGAAAAGGAGTCAAAGAAACTCCGCATTCAGTTGCAGCAGCTGAAGAATAGTGGCCTGAGCGCGGGAGTGTCGCTCGCCGAGGGAGTGCTGGAGGCGGCGAAGAACAACAATGCGGCCTTCCTCGCGGCGCAGGCCGGCCTAGATGCCGTCAAGGTCGTCGAGGGCGCCATCTACGACACGCTGCGCACAATGATCGAGGCCGCAGCGACCCTGTGTGATATCCGCGTGGTCAGGCTGCGGGGCACCATCACCGCCAGACCGGAGGAGCAGTCCGCTTTCCAGATCTATTTGGAGGGCACGCTGGTCGGACAGGATTTCAAGTTCGATCTTGTGTATTACCCAGGCAAGACGATTGAGTTCTTGGAAGGTTTGGCCAAGGAGGCAATGGGGCACCTGAAGTTGACGTAGTGCTGGCGCTGAAGCGGGGACTGCGAAGGACCATTTCTGTAATTATCATGCACAGCTCTTTGTAGATTAGTACGGCAACAGGATGTATTATTAGCTTATTGCAATGTTTTTCGCACCGCAGTGACTACTGTTAAAGGTTGGTGCTAGTTGGACAACTTCTTAGGTACCAATGGTGAGTGTAATAAGATTCACGAAAGGGCCGTCGAGAAAGGTAACAGACGAGAATGGGCAGCGGCAACTTTACTACTTCATTATAAATATTATTGGACTGAGAGAGTTGATTTCAAATTTTCTAGACCTAAAGTAGATAGTCTTGATTTAGTATTATAGCTTAGCACCAATAGTACATCATTCATTTTGTAGTAAATATTGTCTCTGAATTATATCTGAAGAAAACTCAAGCGAACAGTCACTCCTCAAGAGAAAGATGACAAAACTCTTGTATGCTTAAGATAATTATCCGTCTTTTCATATGATAGACTGATTTTGATCAGAATGTCCCTTCCCTGGAAACGCCTAATCCGCTTCCGCGCCATTGACGGCCGCATCTTGCGCCGGGAGCCCATCCCGCCCGCAGAGCGCGAAATGGACCTGGGACAGAACACCGAAGCCAATCAACTACAAGCTCGAGTCCTCCAGGGTGAAGACACCCACGATACAACAGGTGCAATCAAGGTGATGAGCGAGATTGTCGGGATCCAACAAATTTTCTCCCCGCTAGCCCCTAGCGACGTCCCATTCTCCGGTGCGTGGGCCTCCATTACGCCAAGCACAGTACGTTACTCTACTCATTTTCCTTCGTCTGATTAGCCCCCTTCCTTCACAAGATAATAACACGGAGGCATTTCCGCGATCGACAGAGAAGCAGGATGCAAGCCCCCACCCTTTCCCTTTATCTTCTTCAAGCCGAACACCTGTGTACAGGACCACGGCGAACCCATCGTGATTCCGCCCATCGCCCAGAACGACCAAGCTGACTACAAAGGAGAATGGGAATGAGTTGTCATCTAAGCTAATTGTCTCCGTTCTCGGGTTGTGTAGTGTAATGGTTAGCACCCAGGATTCTGATTCCTGTAATCCCGGTTCGATCCCGGGCACGACCTTTCTTTTCTCAACTCTTTTTTAGGCTCAGATGTAGCAGACATTCTTGCAAGAAGACATCATTGCAATTATAAGAACTAGTACTATATACCGATGATTTCTTGAGATGTTCATGGCTTTAGAGATCTAGCCCATAGTTGAATTAGAAAGACGGTGCTAGGTGGGAGACTTACTGCTTGAAGGATTCAAATCCCTGCGTTTTTCTATCATGCTAACACAATCAGCAAGGTCAACCAGAGTAGCTGCCTGCACAAGGCTCAGTGCGGTAGCTGCAAATGCACTGTGCCACCTCCCAAATTCCGGCATATTCGCAAACTATCATCCAATCATGAAGCTTTACAGCCACAGCAGCTCGTAACCGATTGGAAAAGATGATTTTGCTGCCAGAGCCTCGAGGCGCCTCACTATGCTTTGATCTCTGGGATTTATTGCGGAACTGGGCGGGCAATCTCGAATGGATCTTGCGACGATCTTGCTTATATATTCCAGTTGGATCCCGTTAACACCTGCTTTATTTGTTCTTTTCCATCTTTCTCAACACGTCGTGATATTATCGCTGATAAAAGACGCATATCCTTCCACCGCAAGAAAATGGTCGGTAGCACAAGTGACAGCTTGAAGACATGCTATGAGTTCGCGAAGCGTGGGTCCTGTCGCTTCAAGCGCTGCAAATACGCCCATGTCCGGCGAAACGAGAACAAGGCCCGTGATTCGACCAACAGCACAAGCCATAGGAGCCATAGTCTTGGTGATTCCAACGAGCTAGCGATCTGGAAGCGACAAGTCGGCAGTCATCATTACAATCGTCCCCTGGGCGGGCAGCTAGGTCCCATGTTCGCCAAGGCCAGAGAGCTCATCGAGCTCGACGAAAGCACGCTCCAAGATGTAATCCAATGCCTCTCCAAAGAGAGCGGGCTGAGACGAATTCAGGAATTGGTGCAGCGTGACTTCGATTCTATCCCGTCATCTGCGAAACTCGATCTATTTGTCAAGCAGATGCTGCCCTTCATGGATGTTATCACACATCCGGACGTGCTCGCCTCCCTGGTGATTGAGCAAGCAGTGGGCACTATATACAATTGTCTCTACGGGGTTGGTGGGCGGCGGAGCGAACCTTTCTTGGGGTTTCTGGCGGGCGCTATACAACAGGAGATTGAGACTGAGGGTAAAGCAGCTCCCGCATACCTCGAGCAGTCTCTCCTAGTATTTTGGAAGATAGTCGAGCTGAACTCGACCGCATTTGTCCAAGAACCTTTGAAGGCCGTGGCTCGACAATTCGCGGACCTGTTTCTTATTCTTCATGCCTTGAACGGCTCGGACGCCCTTCATCAGTCGCGCGATTACCTGGACAAGCTACAGCATCGGCTTGATATCGGGCTTTCTTTGCCAGCCGTAACAAAGACCGCCAAGCAACATGTTAATCATCAGCCCGTTGCATTTGTGACACAGAGGGAACCGCCTGGTAAACGCCATGATAATGACGACGACGATATTTGCAATATCAAGGTCATGCCGACCTTCCAGGAGATTCTGTCTCCGCGCTCTGAGTATCTCCCTCCCAAGGATCCGCGCCAGTGGCATGTGTGTGGACTCGCCGGACTATTGGACAGGAACTTCCGACTATTACGCGAAGATACCATTGGTCAGCTCAGAGACGCAATACATGCAGAGATTCAAGCGGTCGATCCTAGCCAACGGTCGCGTCAGAAAGGCGAAACCAGGACGCACGTGTACAGACAGGTAGTCGTGCAAGGGGTGGAATTTCATCGGTTCGACGGATTACAATTCCTTGTGCACTTTGTTCAGCCGACAAATGTCCGCGGCGCAGCGAAGAAGAAGTTGCAGGAATGGTGGCAGCTGTCGAAACGTTTACAGCCAGATGCACTTGTGTGTCTTTTTGATCCCCGAGGGCAAGCAATATTTTGCACGGTCGCTGCACCTGATCGCCCAAGGCCAAAATCCGATGCCGCCCAGAAGCAACAGGGGAGGCTAGCCGGCTCGCTCTCAGATGACCCTAATGTGGCCTCTGTGCTTTTGAAGTTGGTTGAGTCTGGTGAGAGCAGCTGGCAGTACATCCTCGACTGCCATGCGTCCCAGCACAATCCGTCTCCCATTTCGCTCGTGGAATTCCCCGGTATTCTCTTGCCGTCATTCCACCCCACTCTACTTGCTCTTCAGAAAATGCAGAAAGCTGGAGATGTTCCCATGGCGGAGTTCCTCGCGCCCCAGAATCAAAACACCTTGTCAATCTTGGCTGACGTGCCCCCGCCTGTCTATGCGGCCTCGCAAAACTTCAGCTTCGACCTGAACTGTCTCATGAAGGATCATTCCAACCTGCAGCTACACGTCTCTCAGCCTTTTGATCTAAAAATGCTTCAGGATGGCTCTACCCTTGATGATGCCCAGGCTTTAGCGCTGGTCAGCACCCTTCGGCGTAAGATTGGGCTGATTCAAGGCCCGCCAGGGACTGGCAAGAGTTTCACGGGTGTCGCATTGATAAAGGCACTGTTAGCCAACAAAGCGAAGGTCAAAGGGCGGCTTGGACCGATTGTATGCGTGTGCTACACAAATCATGCCCTTGACCAACTCCTGGAGGACCTGCTGGATAACGAAATCACTTCGCAGATCATCAGAATCGGCTCGCAATCCAAATCCGAGCGCTTGCAACCACTGAATCTTCGTAACATTGCTCGCGGCGTTGAGAAGACACGAATGGAGAAAGCCGAGCAATGGCGTCTACATACGGCTCTTGATGACCATGAAGATGAATTCCGCAAGGTCAAGTTGAACGCGATTGGCTTAGACCATGGTCTGAAGTCGTACCTCGAACAGCACCAACCATACCATTATGCCCAGTTATTTGCCCGGGACGCAGATGGTTTCCAAAGGCAGACAAAGGGGAAGCCCGCTCGCACTATCCAGTCGTGGCTAAAGGCTGGCAAATATAGCAGAGCGCAGCCTACCGCCATTCAAGAGCTCGCGAAGGTTCATGTCGATGCAATGACGGCCGCGGAACGCAAAGCTCTCCACGCTCACTGGATAGATGATTACAAACAAAAAGCCCATCTTCGGGTGCAAACAGCCTTGCATGACCATCTAGAGACGAAAGCTTCCTGGGACAGAATCCGAGACGAAATAGCCTTGAGGTGTCTCAAGACTGCAGACGTGATTGGAGTGACTTCAACAGGCTTGGCTCGAAATCTCGAGATGCTCCGTAGACTGCCATCTAAGGTGCTTGTGTGCGAAGAAGCTGGGGAAGTGTTGGAAGCGCACTTGCTCACGTCGCTTCTGCCTTCTCTCGAACAGGTTATACTCATCGGTGACCATCAACAACTCCGGCCCCAAATCCAGAATCACAACCTATCCCGAGAGAGCAAAGCGGGCGCCCAATATGCGTTGGATAGGTCTCTCTTTGAGCGCCTAGTGGATCCAGATGATGACGTCGGCGTCCAGATTCCGTTCTGCACCCTGGAAACGCAACGGAGGATGCATCCCTCGATCTCCCAACTCATACGCGACACGCTCTATCCACGCCTGCAAGACGCACCATCCGTGTCGACATATCCGGAGGTTGTTGGAGTCCGAAAGCGGCTTTTTTGGCTTGATCACCGTGTACCAGAAGGCCATGCCTCTAGCGAAGACGCGATGGCAACATCTCATTGGAATGATTACGAGATACAACTGACGATTGCACTGGTGAATCACCTTCTTCGGCAGGGGACGTACGAGAGTGGTGACATTGCTGTTCTCACTCCTTACCTTGGCCAGCTTCATCGGATGCGTCGGAAGCTGAGCCAGGCCTTCACTATCATGGTGGGGGAACGAGACCAGGACGACCTGGACAATGCTGGCTTCATCGAAGACGAGGCAGAGGCGGCGTCTTTGGATAAGACAACAATTGCCAGATCAACGCTGCTTCATGCTCTAAGGGTTGCCACGATCGACAATTTCCAGGGGGAGGAGGCTAAAGTGGTGGTGATTTCCTTGGTCCGAAGTAACAACCAGAATCGATGCGGTTTTCTCCGTACACCCAACCGAATTAACGTGCTTCTCTCCCGTTCTAAACACGGCATGTACATCATCGGCAATTCGGCAACTTCCAGGGGGGTTACGATGTGGGGGAAGGTGATCGATATGTTGGAGAGGAACGGAAACATCGGGAATGCTCTGGATCTGACGTGCCCCCGACACCCCGACACACCTATTACCGTTTCAGAACCGGAGCATTTTATCCAATACTCACCTGAGGGAGGCTGCTGTCTGCAGTGCGGCAAACGTCTTCAGTGCGGCCATCCGTGCAAGCAAAAATGCCATTCAGAGATCCTCCACGCCGCTGTGTATTGCCCGGATCAGTGCAAGCGTCCGCAGAAAGGGTGCGCGCATCCTTGCCCGAAGCCTTGCGGAGACCCCTGCCCTGAGAGATGCACTGTGAACATTCCAGACCCAGATCGCCGTCTCCCATGCGGACATCCAATAATGAACCTCCCGTGTTGGCAAGCGCAAGATCTGAGCCTAGTGAAATGTCTAACCTTGGTCGACCGAGAGATCCCCCACTGCCATCACACCACGCGATTAGCATGCCACATCGACATTTATGGCGCGGACTATCAGTGCAGACACCAATGTCGGAAATTGTTGCCATGTGGTCACAACTGCAAACGGCAGTGTCTGGCGTGCCTGAATCGCATCGACGAGGAACCAAAGTTTGGCCATGGCAAATGCACGCAGAAATGCGGACGCCTATATTCCACGTGCGCGCACGCTTGTAATGCTGAATGTCATGGGATTAATCCATGTCCACCGTGCACGTCGCCCTGCGACGTCCAGTGCGGCCATTCCACGTGTCCGTGCAAATGCTCTGAGCCGTGTGCTCCATGCGCGGTTTCGGAATGCCTGTCTTCATGTCCGCATAGCTCATGCTCGATGCCCTGCGCCGCGCCCTGCGATCATATTCCATGCTCTCTGCGCTGCGAGAAAGTTCTCTCGTGCGGCCACCAGTGCCCGTCTGTGTGTGGGGAACCGTGCCCTCCGAGCGACTTTTGCCAGACTTGCGCATCGGACAGCATGAAAGAGACCACGGTGGACTTTATCATGGGAGAGCAGTACGGCGAAGTCAATTTGGCCGCAAACCCTTGTATCTTTCCTCCGTGTGGGCATTTTTTGACCATCGAAAGCATGGATGCGCAGATGGATCTCAAGAAGCACTATATCTTGGACGAAAATGGGCGACCAGTTTCGATTGCGTCATCTTCACAGCCATTCTCAATTGACGATATACGGACATGTGCGATCTGTCGGGGTTCATTGCGCCAGGTGGCCCGTTACGGAAGACTGGTGAGACGAGCATTGTTGGACGAGGCAACGAAGAAATTCATACTATATTTGAACCAGGATTATGTTCCCATGGCGCAGAGCCTGCCACGGTGCATTTCGAGATTGCAAGATTATGGATCACGAGCGCCGACGAAAGAAACCGCGAGACAAGTCTTCTGCGCTGATATCAAGATTCGACTCGAGGGGCCCCCAGAGCATCAGGTGAAATTGATGAGACAACATGTCGCCAAGTATGATAAGCAACGGTGGAAGGAGCTCATAGCTCTGCGGGAGAAGATCAACAGCTATAAAAGTAGGGTGCAACTGCAGGAGCAGCCGTTCGTTCGAGTCCGCAACATGGTAGAAGACGCACATCGGCGAAAAAGAAGCCCTGGTAAATTCGACTTTGACGCCAATGTGCTTCAAACAAAGGGCTATCTCCAAGCGGCGGCCCTCTCGCTGCGCCTAGACGCATCCCTTCTTGCAGACTTTCTCGCCCTGTGCAAAAAGGGACGACATGCCGGCCTGTATGTCAACTTGGCAGGGTACAGGAAAGAGAGTAATCACCTCAGCGCCAACGCAGCGGCTTCCTTCCGTGTCTTACAGCAGGTGGAGGGGAATATCTTCCTAGCCCAGTTCTGTGCACTCGAGCGGCAGAACTTGGCTGATCCATTCGAAGCAAAAGATCTGCTGCAAGAGGGTACTGCTGCGATTGACGAGGCTGAGAGGCTCTGCAGGCTCCACGCTGGGCAGACCCGCGGCTTTCTAGGAGAAATCGAAGGCACAAGGGCAATGCTTCGTGGCTCGGAGTTTTATGCCCCAGTGACGAACGAGGAACGCATGGCGGTGTTGGCTGCCATGTCAGAGGAGTTCCGGGGAACTGGGCACTGGTACTATTGCGAAAACGGGCATCCCTTCACAATCGGGGAGTGCGGTGGTGCGATGGAGCTTTCTCGGTGTCCAGAGTGTGGAGCCGCTGTTGGCGGCCAACACCATCAAACAACTGCCGGTGTGACCCGTGCCAGTGACCTGGAAAATGCTTTGCGGGAAATGCATCTATAGTTTGGCGCGGAAGTTGAGGGGTATTGGAGGTTTCAGAATGCGAATATTCAATTATACTCACCTTCCCGGAGCTTTCATCAAAGCTAGATCAGATTTGCAAGACCTATGCCGGTGTTATTCCAACTCATGATTGGCATGCGCGGAAGAGCTTCACACCTTAACTGTGTAGGGGAAGCGGTAGAGGCAACTAGAGCGGTGATAAACAGCTGCCACCAGCCCACATCTACGTTCTGTAGGCAGCTAGCTATGTACAACTGTACGAGACTACTAGTAATGATTTCACATCAGCCAATCAGATTGCCAAGCAAGTAGGACATGCAAGGTCATCTCCGTGCAACCTCGGTGCAGATCCCCGCGTCGGCGCCAACTGCGCACTTGGGAGTGATACCCCGCTTTCGCCCTCGAGTCCTACTCTTACGGGCGCATTCAATCGACTACAGCCTACGAGAACCCCTACCTCTACCCCCCTACGAATTACAATCACAGAGACGACAGCACAAGAGACATCCACCGACAACAAGATGACCCTGCCCGAACCGATCACGACCGCCGCCCTCTTCCTCCACGAGCTCCACGGCCCCCTCGTCTGGGAAACCCTGCAGATCCCCTCGCTCGCGCCCGACGAGATCGCCGTCGACATCCACGCGACGGGCATCTGTCACACGGATCTGATGCTCATGAGCGGTGAACTACCCAGTCCCCAGCCGGGGGTCTTCGGGCACGAAGGTATCGATCCCCTTGCCCCTCTCCAGTCCCAACAAACTCCCCTCCCCCAGAATCCCCCAAACAACCCCCCACATCACCCATTAAAACCCACCAGGAGCAGGAACAATCCGCCAAACCGGCGCAGCCATCACACACGTCCGCCCCGGCGACCACGTCCTCCTCTCCTTCGACTTCTGCACGCGCTGCGCCAACTGCACCGCCAAGCACCCGGCCTACTGCGCCGCGTTCGCGCTGCTCAACACGGCGGGCCACCGCGCCGACGGCTCCTCGCCCCTACAGACCGCAACCGGCGGAGCAGTCTACTCCAAGTTCTTCGGGCAGTCGTGCTTCAGCCGCGTCGCGGTTGTCGGTGGACGCTGCGCGATTCCTGTTTCTTCGGGGTTGGATCTGAGGGTGTTGGCGCCGTTGGGGTGCGGGATGCAGACCGGGGCTGGGGCGGTGGTGAATGTCCTGCGACTGCGGGCTGGACAGAGCGTTGCGGTGTTTGGGACGGGGGCTGTGGGGTTAGCGGCTGTTATGGCTGCGAGGATTGTGGGCGCGGAGGTGATTGTTGCGGTGGATGTGAGAGAGGAGCGGTTGCGGATGGCGAGGGAGCTGGGGGCGACACATACTGTTAACCCTGCTGCGCTGCAAGAGGGTAACGGGGTGGTCGGAGCGATTCAGGCGGTGACGGGTGGGCTCGGGGTGCAGTTTGCGGTCGAGTGTTCGGGCGTGCCGGCGGTTGTCCCGTTGATGCTGGCGGCGCTGCGGGCGCGCGGGCGCGCGGTCTCGGTGGGCGCCGCGGGGATCACGGAGGAGGTGCGCTTCAATCTGTTTGCTCATTTGATGGGCGGGAAGGAGTATGTCGGTTGTATTGAGGGGGATGTCTATCCGCCGGAGGTATGTTGCTCTGTCTGGGTGAGGGGACCGTATTGAGTAGTAGTGAGGCTGACGGTGTAGTTTGTGCCATGGCTGGTCGAGCGGTATGCCCACGGCGAATTCCCCGTCGATAAGCTGGTCAGGGTGTACAAGGTCCGGGATTATGAGGAGGCGTTTGCTGATGTTCGTGAGGGGAAGGTAATCAAGGCGGTGCTGGATTGGACGGAGTAAGCCTGTGTATCGCGAGAATGGCAATTTGCGTTGAGTCGAGTAGTACAATCCCCAGCTGAAGGGGGAGCGGTTGGGAAGTGTTGCAGTGTGAGAGTTGAGTCGGGGTTCTGCGCAGGTGGCATGATTCGGATGCCACCCACGGGATTTGATGATGATACGAGGGGAGGCCTGACAGACACGGCGGTGATTAGTGATTATGTATGTTGCTTCCACCTACTAAGATAGTCCTGTACAGTACTCCGCAGCTTACAGCCCAGCCCAGCCCAGCCCTAAGTCCAGGAATAGCATGCACATACTTCCGTGAATTCCCGGCCGGGCACAACGGCCCCGTTGCCTCACTGCGGGCCGGGATTTGAGTCTAATCAGTTGAAGAACCCAGGAAACCCGCCGCAGTGGAGTCAAGTGCGGGGCCATCATCACTCTGCAGATCGTCACATCATTTTTCAAATCGAAGACTACTAATCATTCACCTTCGAGAACCCGTCGATGCGCCGCGCCCGACGGGCTTGTTTCATCCACCCATGCCCCACTGGCTTCTCCGCACTACCAAACCCCGGATCATGGCACGATATCGCGACTGATACTGCGCTGCATACTCCTCACGTACGCTGCTATCAGCAGAACCCGATTCCGTGTGAGCCGGATGGAGTGAGGATGGAGGACTTTGTTGAGATGAGTCGATCGGATTGAAGATACGGTGCCCTGCGAGGGTATAAGAAGGCCGTTGTGCCACTGTCCATCTCCTCCATCACCAACAGCATCAAGCATCACAACCATCCAACAAACCCAGCAAAAGTATCCCTGCTCTTCGCATCAACCTCTTCTACCATCACCATGGCCCCCGTTCTCAAGAAGTACAAGGCTGCCGCCGTCAACGCCGAGCCTGGCTGGTTCAACCTGGAGGAGTCGACTCGTCGGACCATCCACTGGATCAACGAGGCCGGCAAGGCGGGCTGCAAGTTCATCGCCTTCCCTGAGCTCTGTCTGTTCTCCCTGCTCCTTCCTCAACACCACAACCCACTAACCAACCACCCCAGGGATCCCCGGTTACCCCTACTGGATGTGGAAGGTGACCTACCAGGAGAGCCTGCCCCTGCTCAAGAAGTACCGGGAGAACAGTCTGGCGTCGGACTCGGAGGAGATGCGGCGGATCCGCGAGGCGGCGCGGGCCAACAAGATCTTCGTCTCCCTGGGCTACTCGGAGCTGGACCTGGCCAGCCTGTACACGACGCAGGTGATGATCTCGCCCGCGGGCGAGATCATCAACCACCGCCGCAAGATCCGCGCCACCCACGTCGAGCGCCTGGTCTTCGGCGACGGCACCGGCGACACCACCGAGTCGGTCATGCAGACCGAGATCGGCCGCCTCGGCCACCTCAACTGCTGGGAGAACATGAACCCCTTCATGAAGGCCTACGCCGCCTCGCTAGGCGAGCAGGTCCACGTCGCCGCCTGGCCCCTCTACCCCGGTCGCGAGACCCTCAAGTACCCCGATCCGGCCACCAACATCGCCGAGTCCAACTGTGATGTACGCCCCCTGCCCCCCCCCCGCTCGATCAAAGATCATCCCCCAGTGAAAAGTCAAAGGATATTCATACTGATCAGATGCCCCAGATCGTCACCCCGGCCTATGCCATCGAGACCGGCACCTACACCCTCGCCCCCTGGCAGACCATCACCGCCGAGGGCGTCAAGCTCAACACCCCCCCGGGCAAGGAGCTCGACGACCCCAAGATCTACAACGGCCACGGCCGCATCTTCGGCCCCGACGGCCAAAACCTCGTGCCCCACCCTAGCACCGACTTCGAGGGTCTTCTGTTCGTCGATGTACGTATCGCCTACCTGGTTCCAAACAGAATGTCCAGACTAACCCAAAGGTTCAGATCGACCTCGACGAGTGCCACCTGTCCAAGTCCCTTGCCGATTTTGTAAGTTTCGCTGCACCTGATTTGACATGGAGCACAGGCTAATTGATTTGCTAGGGCGGCCACTACATGCGCCCCGATCTGATCCGCCTGCTGGTGGACACCAACCGCAAGGATCTGGTGGTGCGCGAGGACCGTGTCAACGGTGGGGTCGAGTACACCCGCACCGTCGATCGGGTCGGATTGTCCATCCCGCTGGATGCCCCTGCCCCTGCTGAGGAGAACTAGAGGAGAGCTAAGCCAGCTTAGATGAAGCTCCCCACTCTGTATTATAATGATTAGAAATTCATTTCTGTTGTTCGTTCCATCCCTCTGATTTTGAACATGGCCTTTTGTGATTGACCATTTTGACTGCAACGGGGCACCTAAAGTTGAACTACACATTCGCTGACGCACGCCTCAGGCAACGAGGCATCAGGACACAATACCTAATAAAACCTACCCCCCCAAAACGACACACTCCTCAAAAACAACCCCCATCCGTCGACAATACCCATGGAAGACAAGACAGCTAATTGACTGACTATTATACGCCGTGACCTTGGGCAACCCTCCGCCATCGTCCACCGGCTGCGTCACGGCAAACACATCCCGCCCGACCGCCCTCTGCCGGTTGATCGCCTGCACCACGCTGAGGGTCTGGTACACAGGGAACGCGCCTTCCTCGGTCGGCTGCAGATCCAGTAGCCTCTGCAACCATTGCTCGATCTCCAACCCGGTCGACAGACTCCGACACCGTAGGATGCCCGCCAGCAGCAGGCCAGTGAATCCGATGGTGTAGCTGTTGCGCGTGAGGGAGGTCTGCATGTCGGTTCCTTGGGCGATGCGGACGAGAGTCTGGACCCATATATCTTCCTCGTAGGGCTCGTGGTCAAGGAAGGTTGAGTGCGGGTTCTGCAGGAGGGCGAGAAAACTACTGCATTGCATGATGCGCGCTACGACGTGGTATGCGTAGTTCAGTGCTGCATCATGAGAGGAGAAGTGGATGATCGGGTTGCCTGTCGGGTCAATGGGGCCGTAGATGGGCTGCTCAGCGGGCGGGAGGTGCGCGAGCCACTCGTCTAGTGTGGCAGCCTGTTGGTGGAGACGCGAGATGCACGTCGCTGGATCTTCTTCGGTTCTCCGTGGGTTTATCTGACCCCGAGAATACTGAAACGCAGCATTGAAGTTCAGGCGATGGGACTCACACATGATGCTCAACGCCAGGACCCGGCGCCCGTGGGGAGTGTGTGGTAGATTCTTAACCAGCGAGACGGGCAAAGGGATGGACGGCAACTGCTGATGGATCTCCACCGAGCTGAAGTAGGCGCGAGCCCACCAGACCACGTACCGGATTTGCATCCACGAGGTGAGGAGCGATCTGATGGTTGGGTCTGCGACGCCCTGTCGCCACTCCAATAGATTCATGATCCCCTGCACGTGGCAGCAGAAGCCCATGAAGTTACCCATGGCTGATTCGAGGTGCGCTAACAATACCAGCGTCGTGAGAATGACTGTGTTATTGTGATGAAAATCGGCCAACGTCAGGGCGGCGAGTCTCCTGATCGCGGAGGAGTAATACAGATGACTCGCGGTCTGGTGGGTTAGGCTCGGACTCCACGGGCCCATCAATGCTGTCGCCGATACTTTGCGCTCGCCGCGCAGACGGCTGATATTGCAGGATGACAGAGCAAGCACCGCGTCTCTGATGATCGGCATGTCGGGGATCAGGAGTGTGGTAGAGTGGAAGACGGGGTGTACGGCTGGTAGACAGCGATCCTCCCAATAGGTGGTGTAGAAAACGTCCCGCTCCGTCGTCTGCAGGGATTTGACCAGACTGTTGGTTCCGATCCGGAGCCTCTGCTTGTTTTGAATGCTGGACGCCTGGTCGCCAGCCAGCTCTTGTGCTGTCGCATTGGACGGGGCTCCATCCTCGGACGGGGATCTCGAACTCTGGCCGGTCACAATCTGGAATCTGAGTCCGGGTTTCAAATATTCACATTCCTTCCCCAATCGTACGCAGGTCCCACATGCTGGCTTCTCCTCATCACACTGGATTCTCGATTAGTGCTCTCATTGGGAACGGTGATGCTATGGCAAATCAACCTTGGTCCTGCGCTTGCGACAGCTGGTACAGCCATCGCGCGAGCGTATGATATCGGTTTTCTTTGGTCTAGGCGGTGCAGGTTTGTACATGGGTCATCTGCAAGACCTTATCTCGATGATGCGATGAATCTGTGAAAGTGCGATGCTGACGGGTGAGTCAAGAGTGCGTTGTCAGAAGTGGCAACGACCAATCACGTGGCTTCCAAATGTGCTCAACCGAGCCGTACCGCAGCCGATTGAAGCTAAGCCTAATACGGTAGCCATAGTTCTAGCCCGCGGGTCACCATGATCCAGCCAGCACTGGGCCCATAGGCCGCTCGAGACTGTTCTCGCAAAGCATATTCCAATGCGTATTGCATATAAATACCCCCTATCTTTCAGCTTCTAAACAACGCTAATTCTAACTACTGGAGGAATATACCGTTCCGGGGGATAACCCCCGGGCCCCCCTTTCTTTCAGCTTCCCAGTAAAGCTTATGTGTAGTGAGCATCAAAAATATGGCGTCTTACTCCCAGAGATCGGGCCTAATATGACTACCTATGAACTGGTACGGCAAAAGCTTTCCATACCATACAAACCACACATAATACGCAGCACATGGCGCCAACCCTAACTCTATAAGTAGACAATACAAACAATAACGCAAACTCCAGATACCCCAAGAATCCCACATAACTACACCCCCTTCACCCTATCAGTCATCTCCCCCCTCTCGCGCACCAGCTCCGAGACCGCCTTGCCCGTCTCGCCCCCCAACTCCGCAAACCCCCGGACCACCCCCTCGCGATCCCCCTTCCGCATCTCCTGACTCATCTTCACCTTCCCCTCCACTTTGCAGATCTCAATTTCCACCCCGACGATATTCCGCTGCATGAGCTCAATATACCGCTCGGGCGCATCCTCGACCGTCCACGGGCCCGCCCGGCCCCCTTCCCCGGTAAACCCCATGATGCCCCGCTCGCACCGCTCCGACAGATCCCGCATCTGCTTCGCCAGGAACGCGCCCGTGTCCGCGCGCCGGGAGTCGTAGTACACCGAGAGCTTCCCGTAAACCTGCACGGCGGCGTAGTTCCAGGTGGGCACGACCTTGCCGGTGTCCGGTTTGGTCTGGGTGTAGAATTTCGGGGTCACGTAGTGGTGGTGGCTGCCTGTGAAGACGACGAGGACTTCTTGGGCGTGGGTGAGGATCTCCGGGGCACTGTTGTTGGTGTCGGTGTCCTTTGTGTCGGTTTCGAGGAGCGCCTTGACTTGCGGGTTCTGCTTGGCGATGTGCGCGCGGAGGCGGGCGGGTTCGTTCTGGGATGGCGGGTCGAGGACGAAGGGGACGTGGGTGCATTGCAGGAAGTCGTGCACCGATGAGGGGATGCCGGTGATGAGGAGGCCGAGCGGATTCTCGTGGATGAATTGGAGGAGGGCCTCCGTGTCGGTTTCGGCGTGGACGCTGGGGATGAACATGTTGGCTGTCGTGAGGGTACTAGTTCGTTCTGGTGAGCGACGAGAGAAAGATCTGAGATCAGTGCTTGGGCCAGGAGACGTGTCCTGCTTTATATGATGTTTTATCAACACCCTACTCTCCCCGATGCTGACACAGAGAATATGAGAAATTGGAGATGTTAGGTCTTGTGCACCCGATCGGGTAAATTGTGGGGGCCCTACCCTGCGTTAGCATCGTTCTCGCTCACCCGATTGGGTTTAGCGTCGCGCAAGCCCTGGAGACTTCCCCGCCGCCATAGATGGAGCGAGTAATCGAATATGGGTGTCCGCGGAGTTGGCCACTATTCTTTACAACGGGAAATGAGTCACGGGTGATAGGCTCTTGAAAAGCTCCTTCAGGCCGAAAGCTGACGTACAGAGACCATCACGCACGAGCCGCTCTAACCGTAAACGGTGCGCAGGTGCGATGGTGCCCCAACATGCAGAAAATCTGTATATCAGAAGAACCGTGTAGAAGCCAGCACACAGCTATATAAGCCCCCTGAAATTATGGTCTGGTATCTTCGCAGAGAGCCTCCGAAAGCTTACATTCTCAAAGCTGCATCAAGTTGAACTAATCACCACAAAATGAGCACCCCGAACCCTCTCCGCGTCGCCATCCTCATCAACACACCCCCCGACACCGACTTCTGGCACGACGTGCACAAATGCTACCAGGATTCCTTCCTTGCCATCGCGCCGACCGCCCAGATTGACATGTACGACCCGGTCTTCGAGCGCCGCTTCCCGCGCCCCGGAGATTACGACCTGGTTGTCCTGACGGGGGGCAAAGCGGACGCGTCCTCCTCCGAGCCGTGGGTGCTGGGGGTGTTGGAGTTTCTGCGAGCCGCAGCGAAGGAGGCACCCCGGACAAAGATCTTGGGGATCTGCTGGGGTCACCAGGCCATCTCCCGGGCGTTTGGGGGTGTCGTGCGCGCTGTCCCTTCGGGGCCGATTGTATGTATACATACACCGCTTGGCTCGTGACTATGGCAGGGAAGTAAGGGCTGATAATCTGTGGTATATGAGCAGGCTGGACTGGAAGATATGCAATTAACGGAAGCGGGAAGGAAGTTCTTCGCGTGTGACGAGAACACTACTAGCTACGTATGTTGCCTGTGCACTTTTCGTTCAACTCGAGCCCAACTGATCAGCCTGGCAGCGGTTACCCGAGTTCCACGTGCGGGAGGTAGCCCAGCCCGGCGACGGGTTCATTCACCTCGCGGAGAACCATGAGATGTTCGTGAACCAGCAGAACACGGTGCTTTCGTTCCAGTCGCACCCGGAGATTGAGGCCGAGATGGCGAAGAAGCTGTTGTTGGAGGAGGATGATGTGTACAATGGGGGACTCGGGCAGCAGGAGCTGGAGGCGCATCTGGCTCGCCTGGATCGGCCGACGGATGGAATGACGGTGTTGAAGCGGGTTGTTGAGTGGGTGAGGGAGTAGCGGACAGAGGCTTCTGACTATTTTTTGTGAGGGGTTGACCCTTTCTTCATTGCAGCATCTCTCGCACCGTAAGAATACACCAAGCTAGATTCCACCAACATTACTCTGATGTAGCAATCAGCAGATCACGGCGAATAAACACTCATCTCAAACCCCCCCGTAAACGGCAAGGTGACATTCCTGAACCCATTGACCGGATCCCGCAAAAACGCCAAAAGATCCTTATACCCCTCCGCCCCGGACAGCGTATTATCCGTCAACACCACCGCCCCGCGCCGCAACCGAGGCAGAACCGTCTTGAGCGTGGGGAGCGCCAGCGCACACCATACTGTACAGTACACCCAACATTAGCCACAATCCATAAGGAGCAGGCCCTCCCCCAGTCACCCAGACAGGAACTCACTATCCAAAAGCAACAAATCCACCTCCGGCACCCCCTCCTGCAGGGTGACCAGCAAATCGCCCTCCCTCAGAGCAATCATCCGCTGCACCTCCGGCCCGCACTGCGCCCAGTACCCGTGCGCGATCGCCGCCTTGCTCGCCTCCTTCTCGGTGGCGATCACCGTGCCGGGCTTGCCCGTGCGGGCGGCGGTCTTGGCCACGGCGAGGGCCAGGTAGATCGTGCTCACGCCGAAGCTGGTGCCCGCCTCGACGACGGTGGTGGCGCCCATCGCGGTGAGGAGCTGGTACACGAACTGGCATTTGTCCTCGTCTAGGGCGATGAGCTTGTCGAGCATGAGGCGATCAAACTCGGCCTGAGTTCGGGTTTTGGTGGAGGAGCTTGCGGCATGATCGGCGTCGAGATTGTCCAGAATGTAAGAAGAGACGACCTTGCCTGTCTCCTTCTTGGAGATGACCGCTTCTTGGTCGAGGGACTTTTTGTGGAGGGTGGTCAGGAGCTGGAGGATGTGGGGTGGGGCGTCGACGGGGTTTGGGGAGGACATTTTGCAGATAGGTTGCTGTTCGGTGATGCAGGTAAATGCTAGTCTAATCGGATTCAAGGGATGATGAGGAGGATTGTTGTTATGATGGGAGCTTGTTGGTGTTATAGTAGTTTGGTTTTGGGGATTTGGGGTTCGGCAAAAGGCACGGAATTGACAGGACTGAGGGGGTGGGGTTTAATGGCGTTTGGGGTCAGGTTGACTCAATCTTCCGTGGCAGCACTAGAAATCGTTTGTTGACTACTCGCGAGGAGGTTGTTCTCGCAAGGCCGTAAGAAAGATCAGATCATAGAGGTAAGTCTCGGGATGTGAGGTCGCAACTTTCAATATTGAAATCGCCTTTGATTCTTGTGAGTGTGAAATAAAAGGCCATGCTTTCAGACGTCTTTGCTAGGAATCTCGCCTCTAGATTAACCGCCCATGAGAGGTGGTTTGTCCCGTAACTGTGAACAAGTATAACAACTGCTTACACCCACTTTTTACCCAGGCTTTTGACCCACAAGTGAAAGCTGATCAAACGGATGATAGTAGTGCTCAGATGGCCAGGAGCCACGACTGGGCGGACTGCAGCATTGTAGCAAAAGTAGAATGACTCATCTCGAAATCATCAATGTTAATAATGTATAGCAAGTTCGGGGTAATCGCCTCCCTCCCTGAATCGCTGCCTAAGGCACAAGATCGTTACGGGCGCATCCGGACCGGGACTCAACGAATTGTTAGAGTTTTGCGTCCTCTGCCGCGGAGATATCATGGATGCTTGGAATTAGATCCCGAAGTTGACAAAGCTTGATTGGCTTGGTCTGGATCTACTCAGTCCAATGCCTTTCTTACACGAATCTGACCACCTAATCATCCGCTCAGATATTCCCTTACCTTGTCCGACGCAGCAAGTGTGACCATGGCAGTGTATCAACCTGCTTTCTTGAAGGGATAAGGAACCGTGCCGCGTCAGTGGCACCCAATAATCCATGCAAGCAACGGGTTTCCGTACCATCTCCTCGGGATTTGCTCGTGCCCCACCTCAACCACTCGCATCCAATCACCAACCCAAATTCTCCGATCATACCACCAGCGATCTCGGTAAGGATCCCGAGAATCTCAGAATTCTTGCAGGTTCCAGTTATTGCGGGCCCCGCGTGGCACGCAAGTTCAAACCCCGAGCTAGAGCCACCGCCCCGTCTCACCCTTCCTCGTCCGGGATTTGGTGCACTGGCCGTGCGGGATCTTGCGCTATGCTCCGGGGAATGGTTATATCCCAATCCTTGCCCTTAGTCATGGCGTCTCTCTGTCTCAACTTTGCCTGCTGCTTGTCGCAACACCTTAGAGGACGATTTGCGCATGAACGAATGCCATCGACCACTATTCAGAATGGATAATCCCAAGACAATACCAGACACGACTCGTCCGGGACATCGGAAATTCAGTAAGCCGCCAGTCAAGGTCGCTTGCCTCGCTTGGTATGCTCCTTACTCATAAACACACTCTCTGTAACCGAGAGAGGCGGATCACTGATGCCTTCGCAAAGTCGCACCCTTCGTATCCGCTGCGACGGACTCGAACGATGCGGCAACTGTGTCGCCAGAGAGACACCATGCTCCTATGTACCCAGTAAGCGCGGGGGACCGCGGATTCGGAAGCGGAAGCGGCCGTTGACGCCAGTGTCCGGGTCCATGGATACGTCGCTGAACTCGATGTCGAACGACGAGGTAGAGGTGGATGGGCTGGGTTTCGGATTACCAGGGTCAAGTTCGGAGTCGGGACCGTCGTCGCAAATCTCGCTGTCGCAGGAGGAAGATGAGGGTACGTATTTGGGCTTGTAGTGGTGTAGGTGTGTAGGCTAACAGGAGTAGTCTGGCTGGACCAGCTCTTCACACTGGGTGCTCCAGGAGCAGGACTTCGAAGTATCGAGAGCTCAGTGTCAGAGATTGAGCAAATATTCGATGAGATTTTCGCGGAGGACAGCGTGCGGATACCGTCTGAGGTAGAGGAGGAGCCCGCTGTGGAGCCGGACCTCCTGCAGACGTATGCGTCGGATGATGATATGTACGTGCCATTCCTAAGATGCGGTGGAGGCGAGCTGACGAGAAGAATAGACTGGACGCATACTACGTCTTCATTCATCTTTACTGCCCCCTTCTCCCTCCGCCTGAGCGCCTCCCCGTGCGCAACAAACCCGTCTACGGCCCCGCGACCTACCGACCGTCCAGCCCGTTGGCGCTTGCGGTGTGCGCCATTCTAGCCTTGATACCTCATCCGGAGGTGCGACAACCCTCAAAGCCCGAATGCGTCAAGCTCCGACGAGAAATGGCACATTCATATGCGCAATCGGCCTTGGAAGCCGTGGAGGCGGATCTGGAACTGCTAGATTCGGCGTCGGATCCGTCGCGCGCGCTATCGGAGGGGGTGGCGCAGTGCACGCGCGAGCCGTTTCACGTGAATGTGCCGGTTGGGCTGGAGGCGGTGCTGGCATTGGTGTTGCTGAGTAGCTATGAGTATGCGCAGCGGGGGAATATCCAGAAGATGTGCAACCGGGCGGGACAAGCTTTGACGGCGGCGATGAGTGTATCATTGCATGAGACAGTGGAGGAGGATGGCTTCGCGGAGGCCAGACGGAGGGCGTGGTGGATGACAGTATGTTTCTTTCTTGCGGAGTGGAGATGTGTGCTAATGAGTACAGTATATGACGGTGTGTCAGGGATCGATTGTGAGCGGAATGGTACGTGTCACTCACATTCTGGGCTGGCCTATCGCTGATTGACCATATTAGCCTCCTGTGATCAACTTGTACGACCCTCGTTTTGTGACCCCATACCCGAAGGTAAGTTTTTTCTCAGAGAAGTCCTCTCAGAGTGTTGAACTTTAAAATAACAGCTCAGGGCTGGAAACTCCTCATTGAAGCCCAACAGACGATCCTCGAAGCCACAACCTTCGTCCACGACCTCAACCTCACCGTCAAATCGCAGTACAACGCTCCATGGATCTCGAAGCGTATGATGGATCTCGACAGCCAGATAACGTACCTCTTACATCCGTGTCGGGCGTCATCTCCTTCGATACCGCGGTTTCCACCCACTCCCACCGACTCACCCGAGATAATAGCACTGCAGAGTATGAAGTACATCGCCGAGATCAAGCTCCACAGGTGGGACACTTACCCCAACCTCACTACATCCTCACCCAGTATCCTAACACAGAGTAGCGCCCGGATCAAGACGCACCGCTTCTGCGCCTTCCAAGACGCCGCGATCTTCCGCCGGCGCCACTGCGACCTCCACGCGACGACCCCCTCATCCGCAACGTCAGCACCAGGCTGCTGCAGCATGCCAGCCCCCCAACCCTCGAGCCAAACCCCAAACCAGTCGCGAAACTCGCGTATCTCCTTCCCCTTCTCCAGTCACGCCTCCTCGAAGATTTGCCTCCACGCCGCCCTCAACATCACAAACCTCCTCGACAACCTCCCGTACCCGAACCCGACCAACGAGATCCCCCTAACTCGGCCGCCGTACCTTGCCCGGCATTCGCGGGTAGAGATCCCCCGGACGATGCCGTCGTTCGCCTGCTGCGCAATGCAGGCGAGTTATGCGATGATGATGTTGGGAATGAAGGCCCGGGGGAGTGTCAGCTCGAACAGCAGCGGTGGCACCGGCGGTGGGGGCAGCGGGAGTGGCCGGTCGTTGGACGGATTCGTGGAGGAGCTGCGGCAGAGTCTGCGCGGGGTGTGGAAGGTTCTGGGGAATTATGCGACTGCGTTTGAGGCGGTGGGGGGGATGAGAGGTATGCTTCCTTCGGTTGTGTCTTGTGATCTCCGTGGTTTTGGGTAAGGATACTGACTTGTGTGCGTTGTAGATGAGATTGGACTGTCGATGGGGTGGCTGGAGTAGGTTGATACTCTGGCGGCTTTTGACAGATGGTGAATAAAGATAGAGATGTGTCCTTGCAGATCTGGGAGGTCTAGTGGAGATCTTCTCTGACATGGCATTGACTCGATACGAGAGCATTTATTGACCTTCACCTAGCGGGAGTTGAAAGAGTTGCTTTCAGTGCCCATGGTCAAGTCAGGACGGTCCCAAAGCGGAAGGCGCGACGGTGAATAACAAGAGGGGAATACCGGCAACTACCGGTGCCTGCTCCCTGCCCATGTGAAGCAACACACCCAAACAACAGCGAGCTATTCACAGACTTGCTCTAGTCTTTCAATCCGAGCTGATACCTGGCCGACCTCACAATCCTTATACAGTGAATAGGCATCGGAGCTCATCTTTAGCGTTTAGCTTCCACACATATTTAAGCATCACTTCTTATCCTGTTCTCGACCACACCCTCAGAAGAAAGCATCTTTCAAGATAACAAGCTCTCTTATCAACAAATCAAACTTTCCTCAGCAACTATCAACCATCAACAACCATCGAACAAACCTACTCGCTAGCATCTACCATGGCGCAAGCAATTACTCCGGAAATCAACTTCAAACTCGAAACCCCACCCTACTCGCAGCAAGACTACTTCCACCAGCTGCCCGACCACCAGCAGCTGAATCCACTGCCGCAGGAGGAGCAGCAGCAGCAGCAGCTGCTCATCCCGTCCGCAGCGCTCGACCCACTTCTTCTTGGCCCGGCCGCGCCGCCGCTCAGCCCACCGGCCCAGAAACCCTACCGCGTCCCGCTGAGCTTCTGCCAATTCCACAACCGGGTCCGCTGCACCGTCACCACCGACGGCAAACGCTGCAATCGGCAGTTTGATAATAAGCGCAACCTGCAGGCGCACCATCGCAGTCTGCATGATAAACTGCTGGAGCCGTGTCCGTTCTGCGGACAGCGGTTCTACGGGCAATTCTCCTGGGGGTTGCACATGGAGAAAGAACATGGAGTCTTTGTGGCGGGCTGCAAGGTTGAGGAGGGCGACCAATTGAAGATCATACAGTTAGGAGGGGTCGGCGGTGTTCTTCAGTAGGAAGGTGGGAGGTATCTCATGGTGTTCTCCAGTAAAGGAGGGATTGTTGTCTGGTGCATGACGCATCCAGTATCAGTAGATAGATCCACAGCCTGCAGAGGAAGTTCTCTGCAGAAGACAAATATCGATATCCGATGTACTCGAACAATGAGAAAACATGGCCTCGTGTCAAAGAGGCGATGGAGATACCATCTATTCACCACCATACCCAAGGGACCGGGCCAATGGAACCGGGCCGGTCTTTGTATGTAGCCTCAACGCTCTCTTTATCCGTACATACAGCAAAATGAATATAAAAAAGTCTGCATGACACAATCAGTTCCAACATTCAACCCCCCAAGCAAACTGCTGGTACTGTAGAATCATGGCCTCTCAGTCAACCGCTCCAAACCGCACCTCGCCACCCAGCGAGGAGCAGGCAACTGCTACAGCCCCGGCTGCAGCCAGCGCTATAGCTCCCCTTACAGCCCGAGCAACACCAACAGCCGCTGTCAACCCCATGGCCTTCACCCCCGTGAACCGCCCATCCACCCCCCCATCCCAAATCCTGCCCAGCAACCCACCCACCCCCGCCGCCTCGGCCCGTCCCCGGTACAGACTCCCCCGAACCCTCCCGGGCCAGCCCTACCCCGCCCCCGAAACCCTCACCCAGATGCTCCCGCCAGCCCTCACCCAAACCCTTTCCCACCCCGTTAACCCCCAAGCCCCAGCAACCCCAGGAACCCCTGGAACCCCATCATTATCACCAACGCCCACCCGCCGCGCGCGAAGACACCGACCCGCCCTCCCTTCCACACCCCCGGCCCCGGCACCCCCATCTAAACCCCCACGCACCCCCCGAACCCCACGCACCCCCAAACAAAACGCACCTCCCCCCCCACCCCCCGAGATCCTCACCCTCTCGCGTGAGATCCACACCCTGCCCGCCAAATGCCCCTCCGGCAAGGGCTACGACGCCGGCAGCCCGATCCGCTGCGTCCATAAGGAGCCCGAGCGGTACATCTGCATGTCGCCGGTGGGGTGGGCGCGCCCGCACTGCCAGCGGGTGTTTCCGTCGCTGGTCCACCTCCGGCGGCATCATCGGGTGATCCACGGGCCCAAGACGCAGACCTGCGGGCGCTGCGGGCGGCATTTCTACGGGAAGCTTTCCTGGGATTTGCATCTTTTCCGGGTGCATGGGCTTCCTTTGGGGGGGCCGGGGATTGAGGATCTAGAAGAGGGTGGGAAGGGGGTTAAGGTCGCGCTTGAGGAGCCGGTGATCAAGGTGGAGGGAGTGGAGGAGGAGGGGATGGGGGTGAGGATGGTGGTTGAGGAACCTGAATTAGAGGTTAAAGTGGAGGTGGTGGAGGAGAAGGAGGAGGAGATGAGCCTTGGGGGTGTGCAGAAAGAGGAAAAGGGGATGGACACTCACGGGGTCCAGCAGGTCCAGATGGAGGAGGATGTTGGAATGGAGGATGAAGAGATGGAGCTCGAAGAGGGAGAGATCCTGGAGGTTGAGCTCGAAGAGGGCGAGATCCGCGAAGAGATGGATCTTGAAGAAGATGGGGCTGTGTTCGAGGCGGAGCATGACGCGGTCCCGACCCCGAGGTCTTACCACCCGATCTACGGATTCTATCGCCCGACGTTCAGTGACGAGACGCTTGACAAGGCCGAGGGTAAAGAGATCCAGCCGGTTTGGCCTTAGGGTTCGGCTTCGGCTGGGAGTCCTCTTCACCACCGATCATGTTCTCCCTACCTTTTCTTCGTCCATAGTTTAAGTTAATTGAGTATCATCATAACTCTACAGATATTCCATGAAGAAGTAATATCGATGTACTGACCAATGTAAAGCTAACTGGCGGAGTGACGCCTCACGTAAATAGCCGCTACCGAAATGCTATACTACGTACTATGTACCGCTGCTAACAACACTTCCGGGAGAAAATGACCCCTAAGCAGGCAGCACTCCCTGCGGGTTATGAAACACATCCCCCGGATCCACCGCCGCCTTAATCCGCCCCAACCGCTCCAAGTTCCCACCCCAGTACGAGCGCCGCGGATCCTCCAGCCTCGGATCCACATAACCTGGATACACCCCATCTCCAATCCCCGGCGTATTATTCCGGATGATCTCGTTCACGCCATCCAAAAAGTCATACGTGGTCTGCGACACCTGGCCCAAGGTCACCGCATACGACTGCATCCAGAACAGGGTATCCCGATGGGCGAACCCGGTCGCATCGTTGGGGACGTCGTTGATGGCGCCGCCTTCGAGATCGAAGATGACGAACCAGAGCAACGAGCCCGTGCTCGCCGTGTCCAGGTACTCGAAGAGCTGCTGCACGCCATCCTCGGAGATCTGCGTGTCCTGCTGGAAGGCCAGACATCGCGCGTAGAAGTGCGCGGGGATGTCCCCCGTCAGATCCAAAATGCTCTGCTCGGCCCAGTGGGCGGTCAGGCCGAGCCAGTCGGTGAACACGATGGCGGAGGAGTTGCCGTCGGCGCCGGGGAACCGCGCCGCCAGGCCCAGGGCGTCGTACTCGGCCTGCGAGCCGAAGAAGGTGCCGGAGATGACCACCGACCCGGCCAGGATGGTGATGATGCTGGCGAGCTTGCGCGTGAGGTCCTCCTCCGTGATGAACGCCTGCCAGTCGCTGAACAGCTGCGCGCGCGAGCTCGCGCTCCCCAGCAGGTTGAACGTGTAGGTGTACTGCACCGCCTCGGTCGGGGCCGCCTCCGTGCGCAGGACGAACTCCGTCACCACGCCGAAGCTGGCCCCCGCCCCCTTGACGGCGAACAGCAGGTCCGGGTTTTCCGTGTCCGATGCGCGCACGATGCTCCCGTTCGCCAGCACCACCTCCGCCGACAGCACGTGGTCCAGCTCCATCCCCCATTGCCGCGCCGTCGGGCCCAGTCCCCCGATGGTCGCGTGGCCTCCGATCCCGATCTGCGGCGACGTGCCGTGCGCCACCGCCCGGTTGCCCGCGGAGACCAGGTGCGTGTCCAGTTCGCCGTTGAGCATGCCGGCGCCGACGGTGGCGCGCTGCGTGGTCGCGTCGTAGGCGAAGGACTTCATGTTCTTGAGGTCGACGACGATGGCGCCGTTCGTGCCGCCCAGTCCTGGGTTTGGTTAGTGCTGTTGCTGATCAGGGGGAGGGGAGGGGAGGGAATACCGTAGTTGGCATAGCTGTGTCCTCCGCTCTTGGCTTGCACCTTGTATCCCAGTTGGTTGGCGCACTGCACGATCTCGGAGACTTGGGTGCTGGAGGTCGGGAAGGTCACCGCAGCAGGAGTGACGGGGTAGTTGAGGTTGTAGACTTTCACCGCGAGGGTCTGGTACAGGAGATCGCCCTTGAAGGCGGCGAGCGTGCTGTCATTGTCGACGGCAGAGAGGATGCAAGACTTCAGACTGGTGGTGGCTGCCGCGCTCAGACCGAGAAGGCACAAGAGGCAGACCATGAGGGCCGGTGAAAAACCCATGGTGGTGGTGGTGGTTTGTTTGTCAGGGGAGAGACCCAAGGCAGCGCAGCGCACATTCCAGGGCGGAGGGGCCGGGAAGGGGCAAATAAATAAAAGCTGCGGTGGTGGGATGGGGCGGCCCTGTCCCACCCATTCCATCGCCCAAGAAGAATGTGTCACTCGGATGATCTTTCATTGCTTCGTCAGGAAGTCAGCAGAGAACTGACTCGACAGGGTTCCCAGAGAGGGGGAAATCTTGGGATGGTCCGTCTAATTTGTCACTTTTACGAGTGATCGCGAGCGATCGGCGGGACCAGCAAATTAGGATTGGCCGTGCCTGGCGATCTATTGAATTCAAGGATCCACTCATCCAGGCCAGCCGCAATCAGCTTCCCACACATGGTACGGAGAGTCTGGTTGTAGCTTATCTAGCGAACTCAGGTAGACACTAAGAAAAATTCAGCAGCTACCCGTGGTGGACCCGTCAAGGTCTGATTGTGTCGGGAAACCGGTCCTGGTGCAGAACACTTGGAAAGGTTGATTCCTGTATACTATGCACGGTACCATGTGCATCTGCTCGTATATATGACCGGTCCAGTAGGAAAGTATCTTTGCAGCCTATACTTTGTCTTGCTTGGCTTACCGAAGTACGATGCCCGACAGAAGAAGACACTTTCGAAAGCCCCGGAACGGTGATGCATTGCTCAAGAGTTACCCGGACCAGTATCTCTGTCGGATTTCTTCACCACCGCTTACCCTCTTGTAAGCCTTGCGCACTCGAATCGACTGATACATTAAAACAAGACATATGACCATGGAGAATCATGGGCAAAAAGATAGATGACCAGAATTGATAATCTGAACTCCAGAACCATGGAATATAATATCGTGCCGATGTCACCCGGCCTGCTATCCAAGGAACGCCCCGGTTGCACAACCCGGACCTGGACGGGACTCACATACTACCTACTACATTTGTAGGCTACCACGAAGCAGCCAAATCGAACAATCTCAGTAGATGCACACAACAACGCTACATCTAAGCCCCATTACTCTTGAAGCTGATCCACCCCCGGGTAAAAGTCTATCTTTCCCCCCTCCTGAATCACCCCGGTACGATCCAGACACGTGCGTCCTCTAACAAACGGATCCACCACCCAATACCGCTTGCGCCAGGCCGAAATAGCCTCCGTCCGCTGCACCGCCACACTCTCCGGCTCCGCCGCGCCCAGCCACTCCTCCGTCAACTCCAGCAGTTTAGAGGCCAGCTCCTCGCGCTCGGCCAGCAGCCGGTCGCGCGTGGCTGTCTCGGTCATACGCTCGTTCTCGCCCGCCACGGGCTCCACAAACTCATACTCCCAGGCCTCGGGACCGCCGACCTCCTTGAGGATCTTGTCCGGGACGAGGAACTGCTCCAGGTCGGCGACGGACCTGGTGAAGTGCACCTTGGAGACGATGACGGGGTCCATCCAGGATTTGACGATCTTCCAGATTCCTACTTGCATCAGCCCAAGTCCTACCCCATTAAAAAGCTGCAAACAGGAAGCGGGGCCTAACCCGAAAAGATCCACGGAGCGTTGTGGATCAGCATAGTCCCCAGATACTCAGGGTAATTCTCCTGAAAGCAATCGATGATGAATCGCACGGGCGCAAATTCCTATTCTCCCTTCAGTATATTTTCCTCCCGGCCATCTACGGACGAGAAGGGGAGAACTCACCATATTTGACACCGAAAACCCCGTCATGTCGAATAGGATTGTCTACACACCGAACCCGTCAGCCTCCCTTCCAAAGGACACACTCGATGAGTATAGGGGAGAGGAGAACGTACCGCCGTCTCGACGGGATCGACCAACGTCAAGCGCACCGTCTCAATCATATGCAGAATGAACCGGGTGATGACCGCCTCGCTCTGTTGTCCGGGTTGGTGCAGCCGCACGCGCACGAGCAGGACCGGCCGGCCCTGGCGATCCGTCCCGTGGACGATCGCCTTCCCCATGCGCATCTGGTTCAAGAACGCCTGGCTGTCCGTCGCGGTGGTATTCACGGTCGTCGCCCCGATGGCGTCCGGGATGGGAGGGGTCTGCGGTGGTTGTGCGGTGGCCTCGTACAGGGCGTCCAGCTCGGTGGCGGCCAGGACCCGGGCGTCGATGTTCTGCGTGTGGCGGAAGTGCATCGCGCGGAGGAGCATCGCGGTCGCGGCGGGGACGGACCATTTGCGGGCGCGCAGGAAGCGGAGGAGGAGGGTATCTGGAGAGTCGTGCCTGGCGAGACTGAGGAGGCCGGTGCGGAGGGAAGGGAGCGGGTGGCGAGGGAGAGTGTCGAGGATGGGTTGGACGGTGTCGAGGGAAGGCAGGTGGTGGGCTGCGAGGGCGGAGGCTAGACCAGCGGCTGTTGGGGCGGTAGTGCTTTCGGCGGTGGTGTCATCGTGGTTGTTGATGAGGTAAAGGATGACGCTCCAGATTTGACGGAGCTTGGTGGACTGGTCTGAGGTGAGGTTGTGGACGTAGCCGGTTGGTGGTTGGGAAGGAGGAGTGGGAGTGGGAGAAGGCATGGTGAGGTGAATAAGGATGAAGGGGAACGAGGGTGGAAGTTGTTTATGAAGAAGAGGGGGGACCGACTAACACACACAACCTTGAAACCATGGACTAGCCCAAGACCCCAACCCCGATCGACCGGGTCCTGGTGGGAGATCTCAAGGGGCGGCACTGCCCGGCCCGCGCTCCTCTGTGGGGAAGCCCCAAGCTGGCAATATCAGCTACAATTATGACAATGCCTAGCTTGATAATGAAGCCAGCTGGAATTGTTTTATGTTTTAAACCTCCCCAGGTTGTCTTTGTCATGATTCCCATAAATATGTCCAGGTCTTGTAATGGTGTCCGACTCGGGCAAAATCAAGGACCCAAACACCCACTCAAGTAGCCAAACATACACTCAACAATGAAATTATTATCAATTTTACTCCAACCTAGAAATCTTCAATCCACCTAGAATCATAGTAAGCTCCCACTATCAAGACACGCAAACCGCACAACCATCCCCCTGCCACAGCTGCCAGGTGCCCACCGACGTTCCCAAGATAGTAATCCGCCGGACCAACAATAATCCGCGACTCCTCCCGCCCGCTCCTCCGCATCCCGGTCGCACCCGCACACCACATCAAATCCAGTCTACGCCTCTAACACACATCATCAACAATCCCAATTCTATACCTCCTAGAACCCACCCTCTCCCCTAAACATAACTAGAGGCAAGAGAAATGGGCTTCATCGACTTCCTCAAAGAGATCCTCCGCCCGGGGAACGGGGTCGACTACCCCCAGAAGGGCGACATGGTCACCGTCCATTACCACGGGTATCTGCATGATCCGACGCGGTCGTGGGGAAGGGGAAGGCGGTGAGTGCTGTCTCCCTTTGCGTTGTTCGTACATTCGCTACGGGCTATCGCCGCCTGTATAGGAGACTACATACCGTCGATAACTCTGCAGGAAGCAGGAGTGCACTAACGAGATTACACTGTGGGGCGCAGGTTCGACAGCAGCATTAAGCGCGGGTATCCTTTTACTTTCCAGATCGGGATGGGGACGGTAATCAAGGGTAAGTTATGGCCGTTTCCATCCCCACCTGGTGTAAATCCACCGAAAATTTTGAAGAAGCTGATTTGTGATGGTAGGCTGGGAGGTCGGGGTGCTCGGGATGAGTCTGGGAGAGAAAGCGCTGCTGACGTTCGGACCGTATGTTTCCCCTTTCCTCTGGTACGGGCTGGGTGTGCTGATCACAGGAACAGGCATTATGGGTACGGGGAGAAGTACGCATCTGAATCCTGACTGGGCTTCCGAAAGACGAATGCTAATGTAGACGACCAGGGGCGCCCCGCCATTTATCCCCGGGAATGCGAATCTGGTCTTGTAAGTTTCTCCTCGAATCTGGGTGGGCGACGCTAATCCTGCAGCACGGTGGAATTGTTAGCGATTAATGGACGGGGGCTGGATTCCGGCAGTGATTCGGAGTGAACACGGCCCTTGTAGGTTTAGACGTGCGTACGATATGTTGGCTTTTACAGTTGAAGGAAGGGTCTATTGTCTCGTATACATGACCATGCACATTCGTGATGTACACCTGAAAAAACTAATAATACAACTTCACCAAACTCGGCGTCACCACATCCCACGACGTGAACGAGCAGTGGCCATACGGCTCATTCTCATCCGTCCGCTCCGCTGCCCACGGATACTCTGGGGTCGGCGCCGTCACCTGTGTCTCCGCCTTGCGCGGAATCTCCCCCCACATGACCGGTTTACCCGCCGCCCTATCGTCCCCCTCTGGCGGATGGCACGCTGCACTGATCGCCGCGCTACAGTGCGTTGCCAGCGGCATATGGGACTTGAAACGCCGCGCTCCCAGAGAGACCAGTAGCCCCAGAGCCAGGATTCCCACCCACATGGTGATGAACATTGCCATGGGAGAATAACAGCACCCCCGCGACGAGTTCCCCTCATCTTCATCGCCGTACACGTCGTATGCTTTGATGTTGACGAAGAAGATACTCTGCGAGAGAAGCCAATGCAGCGTCGCGGATAGGATCATCAGCGGAAGGCTGTATCGGTAGCGGAGGCTGAGGTAGTAGGATGACTGCTGCTGGCCGCGGGGCCAAGAGACGCGCAGTGGCCGCCGGTGCAGTGCGTACTGGTCCCATTCCTCGGCAACAAGCATGCACGTCAGAAGACTATTGGAAAGGAAGTAGAGGATGGAGAGGACTATCTGGGGCGTGTTGGCGAGAAGAACGAGGGCGATCATGTTCGAAGAAATATACTGGATCATGGTGGTGGCGCTGGTCTGCGCGAAGCCAAGACTCATGGCTGTGCTGAAGCCTTCGGTTTGGCGTATGGCGTAAGTGGTTAGCCAGATGGCTGTGACTATGCAAGCGATAAAGCTGATGCGGGGGTTAGTTCTTGCAGCGAATCTGTTGAGGTCGAGAGGTAAGGGCCCTACAAGAGAAGGACCAGCGTCCAACGTCGCCAGCTGACCGCCTGGTACCATCTTTTACGCGGGGGAAGAATGCTGGGGAAGACTTTGGTGTCTTTTGTGGTAATCGTCGACGAGAGATTGTCCAGCGAGTGTGAGGTTGGGCTCGGAGCTCTTCGTTGTAACGTGTATCCTTTCCATGAACCGATAACAATGCCAGGGAGGGTCCAAGCCTGCGGCCCGCGAGTCATTTGCGAGCGGGAGAGCAGACATCGGCCACGGGTAGTCGGATCGGGCCGGGTGAGAAATGAGGCCAGCGCATCACCTACTCTTAACATGAGGTCCGTGCGCTTGACCCGGGCAGTCAGCAGCATGCAGACGACTTTGATGGTATTGCATACAATGACGACAATCGCAATTGGGGGACTGAAGAACAGCTGACAACGTTGCTCCTCCTCTTTAATCAGGCAGTGTGATACAGGGACCTCTCGCGCGCCTGTCTGATCGATGGTATAGAAATCAGACATGGACCCGGTACCTAGCAACTCAAAGGTCACAGCAGCTGCCCAGGAGCTGTTCTTCCAGTGAGAAGGGGTGTCCAAGTACGCGCGCAGAGCTTCGTAGGACGGATTGTAGGCATAGTTGTACTCCGCAAGAGTGTACAAGTCAGCACTCAAGCTAGCATTACCGCTCAGGACCATGTCTTCGTAGGCAGTCCCCCCAAGATTGATATAAGAGACATTCGCATCTAGGGGATCAGGAACTGAATAGTTCCAGACGCGATAACTCCAGTACTCGCTGGTCAGCGTCAAATTGCTTGCATTTGGAGGCGGATTGCCATCCAAACCCTGCATGATCTCATACACCGATGCATATCTCTCAAAACCCCCAAGCTGAAGACTGCTAGTGTTGTGAAAGTGTTGACGACCTGCGACATAGATCAGTGTACCATACTCCGTATTGTACTCGACATTGTATCTGGTGGTGCAATCCTTCGCCGTCGCATTGACAAAGGTCCCGTTGAAAATTTGCGTTCGAACGACATCTGCCTCGGACCCAACCTCGGACAGAAACGAGTCACGACTGGTAGTGTCGTTGCCGATCAAAGTCTCAGTTGGCGATAGATCATCTGGTATCATGAAAATTCCATAGTCGAGGGTCGAAATCGATGAGAAAATGACGGAGTTGTAAATCATATGGATTGGCGTCGAGCTGATCAAAAGCAGCAACCATAAAATCTTGCGGCGTCGGTCCATGACCGCAAAGTTGCGAAAGCTGAACGTGCCGACATCGAGCCATCGCGACTTAGCATGAGCCCGATCGATGTCAGTCCGGGACGGTGCCCCCAGGCATTGCATCACGTAGTTGCTAGCCCCGAGAAGAATCGTGCTCAATACGTTGATGATCACGTGTAGCCCTGTCGCCCAATGGCTAGAGCGCGAACATTGTCCACTATACAACTCTGCCATCTGGAATTGACCTCGATTTGTTTTCCATTGGCCACGGTATGCAATGATCGTTGCTACGAGCAGCATGATGATGTTGACGGTTAGGATGGTGCCTGTAATCCAGGTACATATCAGCGCGCCTCTAATCCACTCACTCCCTTCCTCGGCCTTGGCCAACAGTTTGAATCGAGATGAGAGGTGTGCCCATCGTCCTTTTCTGCCGTGAGTCTCATCGGGAATGCTCGAATAGCGGAACTGCTCGCGCCAAGCAGATGGTGGGCGGGACCCCTCCACGGTCACGTGTACCGGATCGCTGTCTACACCCATGGTGTTGGAATCCAAGGCATTGGGGAAGTTTTTTTCGACGCGTAGCACGCTGGGAGGGGAACAAAAACAACGAGCGGCGAAGAAAATTTGGATGCAACATATTGGTGGCCAGGGGTTTTTAGACCCTGCGGCCGGGTCCGTTAGTACGCCTGCTAAATATGGGGACTGGGTCAGAGCGGAAAGTGATTGCTTCAGCCTCGTGGTTAACACCACTTAGCGTCGGACTAGCAGGCCATCGCTCCACTTGGCGTGCTAGCACCGCAAAGTCGTTGAGACAAACCCTTGCCTTCTATCAACGCTGGACCGCAGTCAGGCTGTAGATGCCTTGGCAGTGGCAGCAGGATTCTTTCACTAGTCCATGGATCCCGGAACGAAGATCCTTCATCATGATGTGGTCAATGGCACCCGATCGGCACTTGAAGGATGAGGATTAAATGAATACGAGAGGCATGGCCTCGTCGGCGGCTCCTTCGCCACCAACGCCGTTATCTTTGGACGTGGGATGCGTGTACCTGTCAAATCGTCTTCAAGAAGCGAGAGCATCGCCCCATAGGTGAAATTGGACGGATGACGCACGGACAAGGGCCGTTCCTGCGCATCTGACAGGGTACAGTATAATACCAAGCTCATTTAAGGCCATGCTGTTGTCTCAGATCGATTGTGAAATCGAATTGCCTGCAATTCAAGCAGTCTCCATCAATCGAAATCCTTTCATCTGGCCTGAGTAAGGTGCAGCATCACAGCGGAAGGATGCTAAATTGATATGATAGTTCTACTCACACTCCGAAAGGGGCTTTCTCTGATGGACTTGCGATGATGTCGACGGATGCATGTTTTTGATTTGTTGATTTGCCCTGTGCAGGACTTCCTTTCATCTCGGACATACGCATTGCGCAGTAGGCTCATATGCTTTGCTCATGGTCGATTACAATTAGCGTGCGTGCCAGAGAATCATCTAGCTCTTCGAAAGACAGACAAAGTGTATCATCAGGGAGAGCGGCCATCGCATGAGAATAGATCTACGTAGTGCACTAAGTGCACTGCCCCACATCACTACCCCGGACAGGACACCTACCTGGAAGAGGCTCGATCTATCTCGTCTTGAATCATTCCGTGTGATCGTTTTCAAAACGGCAGATGGGGCCTTGTCCTGGTCCTCTGCTGTTCTGGGCTGGTTCCGTCGCTGATCACCAGTCCATGCCACCGGCAACTTCAAGTCTCTGCAATGACTTATGACGGTCGCATAGACTAGATACCGCATAAGCAAGAAAAGAGGATGACTTAATCCTAGCGATAGGTGCAAATTTGTAATATTATAGAGTGTGGCAGTAACGACTCATCTAGTTAGATTTGCTGGTCGTCCGTCCCGCGGTCGCAATTCCCTAAATTCTGCACAGTAGATGTCTTTACCTCCTCAGACGACTCGAGCGCCAGGCACACAGTAAAAAACTGGTTCTGTGTGTAGACCTGCACTGGAACAAAAAATCGGCCTTCTGGAAGGGCTGAAGCGGTCGTTTGGCAAGGTAATTGCTTTGCAACTGTACAGTACCCTCAAATATTGTAAAACGAGACTAGTCTTACAAAACAACATCGGTAGGTAGGTCTGAGCCTCGAATCGAATAAGAGTTGAAGCTTACTGCATCCGCGCAGGATTGCAGGCTTGTGCTTGCGCAGCCCGGCAAGTTGATTTCAGAATGTAAGCCTTGCGTTACGCCTGGCGTGTTCCTTCCATGTGGTGTCCCGGACTTGGTATCGGTCTTCCAATTCTATCGTTCGACGATCGAACCTCTAGAAGGCAGTGCTTGGAGATATAGTCGAGAAGATAATTGCCCACCGATCGGTTCTTTCCCGAATAGGTGCGCTCGAATGATAGCTCCGAAATCAGGTACGCGTTCGGAACGCAATCTATCGTAACCAAGCAGAACTCTCAGCAGGGGAACTTCAGATCAAGGTTACAGGATACTCACCAACTCTGCTCTGTTCCCTCAGCAAAACCCAATATAGAGCTAGATCTAAGAACTGAGGTGTAAAATGGGCATGACGTCGACCAATACTGACGAGACCTTGGGCGCAACCAGCTCTGCTCCATCCTCACAGCATCAGCTGTACGGAGTCGAGCGTCAGCAGTGGTTTCGCACGTGATCGGATTCCGACCGCGCGATAGAACCTGTCGCATTGTTACGCGAGATGCCCGCAATTCATCGGGGAGGTGACAGCGTGTTATCGCCTACCAGGGGTACCTTTCTGTGGCGCAATCATTCCCGGCGTAAGCATCGGCTCATTATGCGAACGAACCATGGGAGTTGTGTTGACATTTGCACGGACTGGTAACTGGAACCGGTGGGACGATGCGATCGGGGGGGGGGGGGTTTCGGCTCGCCCCGCGACTCTCGTCAAGTGAAACCGGACGCGGCGTTGGCGTTGGCGATTGCGATATCCTTCATGCATTATGGCGGATAAAGAATGCTCAAGATTGTTCAAATTCCAAAGTGAAAGTGCCGCTAGTCATGGAATCATAATGTCCGGGTTCGAGATTGTCAATGAGACTAAAGATGGATGTTGTGGTTGATGCGGAGAAATGAGGGGAAGAGATGGGGAATAGAAGTGAGGGGGATTCACCACTGCTTAGATACAGTACAAACGAAAAGTACTGCACAAAAGGCCGCGAGTCTTTCCGCAGTCGACTATCTTCACCTCTCGCCTATCTTCACATCCGCTCCAGCATAGCTGCATATGGCATAGCAACGGTGCCATCTGCGCGTTACAATTTCTTCGATGTCGAACTTGCAGTTATTCAGTAGCGCAGACCATCATGAAGCATACTCGGAATGGCCTCTAAGGGTTCTGTTCACCCATACCTAGTCGAGTTACTAACCTCCAAGTTACACACATTGCAAACCTACTATCTCCAGCCGGCTAGACTTCAGATACAAAAGAACAATTCTCAACCACAGCAATCATATTGCAGCAACACTAAGCTCAATTTTCAGAGGCAAGCCCCTAACACAATCAACAAAGCACAATCTCAATCAGTGACAGTATTCGCTCATTCTCGTCTTCATTTCCAATGATCTCATCCCGTTGAATCCTAGGCGTTCGACGTCCCAAAGGACCTCCAACCACCCAAGCCGCATTCTCGCTTCACATCCCCAAGAGTCCCATTTAAACATACTCGACGGTGACGGAGCTGCTGGAGGTGGAGACAGAGGTGAGAACCTTGTTGTTCTGCTCGATGTCGATGAGCGTGGCGCCGGAGGGCCCAACGGTGGAGCCGCTCTTGGTGGCGTAGGCGCTGGAGAAGGTGACGGTGCCGAAGTCGGCGAAGGGAACGAGGGAGGAGTTCTCCTCGAAGTCCTCGACGATCCACTCGGCGTTGTACCTGTGAAAGGGAGTTAGTGATCACGGCTTTTGCACAGGCAACAGGGTGGGAGGGAAGGAAGAGAACATACTCGCAGAGATCGCCATCAACACCACCGCTGAAGGTGTGAGTGACGGTGGTGCCCTTGGTGACGTTCTCGACGGTGGCGGTACCGGCGGTCTTGCTGGTGGCGTCGACGGTGACCTTGACGACGTCGCCGGCGGAGAAGCTGATGCCGCTGAAGTCGTAGGCGTAGTCGGGGTACCACTCGTACCAGGCGTCGTAGCTGACGGTGCTGCCCTCGATACAGAAGTCGAGACCGGTCTGCAGGATGGCGGTGCCGCAGGTGTCACCGTCGATACCGACCCAGGCGGAGGCACAGTACTGCTCGCGGCTGGAGGCGCCAGAGGGGAGGGAGGGGGTGGGAATGGTGAACTCGGCGGTGACGGCCGTGTAGCCGGTACCGATGAGCACGGCGCCGGCCCAGTTGGACGAGTACTCGACGTTCTTGGAGCCGGTCAGGTTGATCGCCTCGCTGGTGCCAGGCTTGAGAGGGCGGTTGCTCTTACGGCTGCCGGCACGCTTGGCAGCGGCGCGCTTCTCGGTGAGAGGAGCAGCAATGGCGGCGGTGGCCAGAAGGCCAGCGGTCAAGAGAGCAGAGGTCTTCATTTTGTTGGATGGTTGGGGATGATGAGATTGAGAGAAGAGCGGAAGTCAGCGAGATTGGGCTTTGAAGACGGAGGATGCTTGCTGATGGAAAAGGCATGAGCTTGAGGGGATTTCAGGCCATCTTTATATCTTTCTCTTGTCCCCTGGCCGCGTATCATGTGGTCTAGCCAAGAGACCTGCAGACAGGACTCCGACGTATCTCGCTGCAAAGCAATTTGGAGGTGATAAGACCATACAGGCTGAAAGGACGCACACGTTCTTATCACAGGGCAAGCACTAAGACTGAAGCAGATAGTGGCTGACGAGCCAAGACGCTTGAAGCAACGGGTTAATGAGGGCTCAATCACTCCTCCCGCTTGGCCTATGCTTGGTGGTGGTGGCAGACATTGGCATCCTCGGCGAAAGCTTCAGTCGACTCAACATTAGGGATTAGACAGTCCGTTGCTCTCAGGGACCCAATGGATCAGCAATTCAAGCTCATGATGTGCGAACACGATCGTCCTACTACTGTGTAGAAGCTCGGAGGGTGAATCTGAAGAGGAGATCAAATGCTTCAGAGGACCCCCATCTCCTGACTATCAGTTGAGTTACTCCGCTTTTCCCCTACCAGGCCGCCTATTAGCCAGAGTGCGCTAGTCTGCATCAGGAAATTCGATGCTCTGATCAGTCTTTACATCTGCACCCTCGGCCTCATGATAAGGCAGGGTCTGCCCATTGCTCTCGGAGCTAATGCTTGCTTGCTTGATGACTTACCCTGTTGGGGCAGGGTGTGCGCTGATTGATGGGGAATATCCACAAATACTACGGCGTAGTATCCCGTGCGCTACTAGCAAGGCCTCTCGTCCCTCACGTACATACTATCTTTCCCTACGGCTGATAACCTTGACATTTAGGTTATGCACCCCTCGTTCTGCCCGCACCTGCAGAACCATCTCCAGCCGCCGGTGCTCAGGGCGGGCCTCCGATGGAGGGCGCATGAAGACAATTCTCCCATTGGACTGGCGGCCCGTGTCTGACGTTGCCTCAGAAAATTCGCAGTCCTTGCAACTCTCCAGATAGCCCTTCTCCTATTGCTGTGAAGAATTTCAGAATCAGAGCTACGCAGTGAGTGAACGGCACTATAGCTAGCAGGCCGAAGTCGGGGGACTAACCCAGGGCAGGCCAAAACCCCGCGGCCGGACGACCGACGGGATCTCCGCCATCCTTGCCGCCCGCCCCGCTCTTCCCCTCTCCATTATCCACCTCTCCTCAGTCGGCCTCGCTGCTTGATTGTCCAACAATGGCTGTCGCCAAGAAACGATCTTCGTCACATCGCCTCCCTTATCAGCGCTGACCTCCGACGTTAATATAACTTAATTGCACCTGAGATTGGAGTCCTTCAGGCCGGGCTGGTTGAGGATGGTGGCAGGTACTTACCTGCTTTGACGCAGATAGTTGGGTAGAGCATATCATCTGAACGCCTGTTCTTCAGAGTGCGCATGGCATTGTGGGCTCTTGATACGTTACAGAAAATGTATACACTTTGGCCTTACAATTGTTTTGGGCGGCAAACAATCAGATACCACTCATCAATCCTGCCAGCTAGTAAAGCATTGCGTAAGTGGGCGACAACTAAAATTGGCCCCGATACCACTTCGCTTAGTCCAATCCTTGTTCCCCTACGATCTAGTCGCGTTGGAGCTAACACAGGCTCTGAATTGTTCGTCGCTAGGCGCTCTGTAGACGTCGCTTAATTTAGTACCTGAATCCGATGACGTAGCTGGCGCATGGCTCGGGGATAGATGGTAGTTCCACGCCTTTAGGGACGAGTCGGTCTTCATCAAAACAACAACCCTCCGCTCCGAGCAGGGCCAACTCAACTGCGGGTGGTATTGAGTAGTCTAATGGCCGGTCGAGACACGGTGTCTACCCTCTCTAGCTGGCTCGATTACATTATGTCGAAAATATTTCGGATATTTTAGAGAATTGTATTATCTTTACGCTCAGATCTTTACGCTTGATTGGGGAACCCACAAAACTCTCCTTTTATATAGACGCAGTTGAGCATCCTTGACTTTCTGTATCGTGTCTTTCCATCACTGAGTAAAGTTCTTAGCAAGGTTTTAACTTAGCTGTTCAAGGAGAGTAAAAGGTATTCATTGGTCGCTAGAGGCGGAGGTTCCGCTAACCTGAACTCGCCTCGGAGATAGCCTTACACAACGGAGCCAGCCGTTAACTCATAAAATCGAGGAAATACCGGACCCATGACACCCACTGTCATAGCCCTTCATTGCAAAACTTCCTTGGGGGCCAATTTCGTCTTGCTTATAGGTAAGCGTAGACCAAGCAGCAGATTCATGGCCTAACAGGACTCTCCCTCAGCAAAGCCGCGTTCCATTCTGGCGGAAAACAGCAGGTTAAAGTGAAATTTACCCTCGGCCTAGGAAGTATGCGATGTATCATTACATAGGCGAGTTTTTCTAGAATGTCCGCAGACTTCCGTACTCCCATGCCAGAAAAGGGTCTAGGCAGATCTGGAATCTTCCGTTCTCCACGCACTCCGTACGGTACTATGCAGGACCCGTATGGTGCAATATCTTGCAGTAAGCAGTCATACCCGATACATGATCCAACCGGACCATTTTGTATGAGCGGCCTTGCACACCTGGATCGGAGATATGGGCCCATAGCGACTTTTCATGACCGCCTCCAGTTCACCTGTACCCCTTTCTCTATAGGTAAGATACAACGCTCTGCCGCGAGTACTCATCCTAAGTTACTCCAGTATGATAATACCGGCAGATCTCGTATCAACAACTCAGCTCCACGGTTTACTACATTCTGTGAGGTCCCCATGGAGTAACAACATTGTCCCCGATTCATTCAAATCTTCTGCATCTTGCGCGAAAACCACCTTCCCATATTGGAGATTACTGTCATTGGACTGTCTAGGTAGACGGCTAGAGTCTCTACACCTTGGAAAATAGCGACAAGGAGTGAAATTCTATCGGATTCGTTGTCTATGGTAGGTATTTGCAGTCTTCTGCCTGGCCAGCTACACTACGACTCCGTCAACGTTTATCGTCTCCTCGAGAATTGTCAGTTAAACTAGTATATCCAGATGGTCCCCCTAGAATGAGACTTCTCGTACTTGGATGTACATTTTCAAGTTATAAGTTCAAGACAATAGCCCTCGATCACTAAGTGAAGTTTAAAGCAAGCTGTAAATTGGCTGGCCAAGCAGGAGGAACCTATGTGGTGATCACGTGACACGTGGTTGAGTTGACCATGGTCCACCTCGACTGCTACAGGCAGTCCAGTTTTCGAGTAGTGAATTGCTGACTGTATTGAGACTACCTTGATCTTATTCATTCTTTTGGTCGTGTAGGTTGTCAAACTCAGAAGCTACAGTCTCTACTAAAAGTGTGCTGTGAGCACTTGAGGGCCATCGGAAAATAAATATATGTGGACCATTCAAAATCATTATCTGACAATCGACTCCTATCACCGAACTTTAGGACAATAAAATTACCCGAAGTTTCATGAACGTAGCGATGGATGATAAGAATTATATCTTGAATTTTCGCTGTTTGGTCGGCTGGTTGAACCAGCTGAGATCTGAAGATGGGCACACACTTCAAGGTTGGTGAATACCCTTAAATCACATGACCTAACATTTAGAAACACCGACGAAAAATGGAACACGCAAAGACTCATAGAATAACGAATGCTTTTGATTCCAGTCCCTAGGCCATTTTGAAATGGAATAAAGAGTAGCCTGCGGGCAAAGCAGAGCGGGCGACGGGGGACCAACACACCCGAGTCGTACCGCTTGCTACCTGCCAGCCCCACCAGATTGAAGGAGAGACGTGTCTATTTAACCTCTATAACTCTACACAACACCCGAAACATCAGACGAGAACCCGCCCCCGGAACCACTTCCCCGAGCTTACTTCCCCTTTTTCCCCTCCAGATCCACGGGGAACTTCTCCCGAATCGTCTTGCCATACCGGTTGAACAGAATCGGCACCGGCACAAACGCCAGCGCAATGAACCCGAGCAACGAATTGCCCCATCCCAGCCCGAGGGCATCGAACATGGCCGGGCCCGCGAGGGGCAGGAGGGCGCCGACGAGCGACCGCGTGGCCGTGAGGGCCGCGTTGGCCGACGCCGCGTACGCCGGGTAGCAGTCGATGACGTAGGTCTGGATGGGCATGTAGATGCCCATCATGCCGATCCCGAAGGGGGCCATGCCGATGATCGGCACGATCCAGTGCACTTTATACTTGGCGGACCAGCCGTACCAGAAGAAGCTGATGGGCAGGATACAGCTGAAGAAGATCATGGTCACCAGCCGCATTTCGGGCTCGAACTTGCCCCCGTTGCGCGCGGTCAGCTTGGCGACGATGCGGTCGCTCGAGAAGGCGATCAAGGCGAGTCCCGTCATGAAGCCGATGCCGATCCCCAGGTAGGCGAGTCCGGAGATGCCCGTCGACCAGCCGTAATCCTCCTGGAAGACGGAGGAGATGGTCGTGAAGAAGAGATAGAGCAGGCCGTAGACGAAGGCCATGTAGACGGATAGTAATAGGACGATGGGGGACTTGAAGAGGAGGAGGAAGGGGCGGCTGAGGCCCAGCTTCAGGGCCTCGCTGAGACGGGGCCCGCCTTGGTTGGTGGTGATTTTGTCGTACGCGCTGCGCAGGTCGCTGCGGTTGAGTTCCTTGGCGAGCTTTTCGGTCTTCCACCGGATCAGGACAGGGGCGTAGGTCTCCCGGTTAAGAACTTCGATACCTGCGGCGATGCACCCGCCGGCGATGAGGAGAATCCAGAACACCCAGCGCCAGCCGATGGTCTCGCCGATGAAGCCGCCGGCGATGGGCCCAACGACGGGACCGATCAGTGGGCCGAGGGCCCAGATGGAAGTGGCCATGCCGCGTTGTTCGGTGGGGAAAAGGTCGGCGATAACACCGGCGCCGAGCGTGAGACTGCCGACACCGCCCATGCCGGCAAGAAGGCGGAAGACAATCAGAGCGGAGATGTTGGGTGCGAGGGCGCAGCCGATCTGCCATACCACGAAGAACCAGTTGGCGCAGCTGAGCACGATACGACGACCGTAGATCTCACTGAGTGGGGCGAGGAAAAGGGGTCCAATCTAGCGCAAGGTATTCATCAGATTAGCTATGAAGGATATGTCACCGGGTAAAACATACCGTATACCCCAGCAAGAAGATAGTAACACTAAATGACAGGAGGTACTCGTTGGACACCCCAAAGTCTTTGCCCACGTAGCCCACGGCCGGAGAGAACATACTCGATGCGAGGGGTGAGATAAAGGTGATGGAGCTGATCAGGGCGAGCAAGCCCCATTTGCGCCCACTGGCGAAATTCTGTGGATTGTGAGGATCATCCTGCCCATCCCATCCCACAATGCCTCGACTGAGGTCGGTTTCGGGAAACAGTGGACGTGTTGGTGTAGCGGTAGCCGGGGCAGTTGTATCTTCTGTTAGGGTGGGTTGGTCGTTGGATGTGCCCGAGTATGCAGATTTCTCCGAGAAGCGCCGTTGGCTTTCCACGTCCTCCATGGTCCGCCTAGTGAGTTTCCGCCAATCGGAAAATTAGTCGTGCTAGATATTAGAGTGTAGAAAGAGGACGATCGCTGTGGGAGATGAAGAAAAGGTTAACGAGCGGATAAAGTGAGGCGATGTAGACGAGACTACAACGGTATTAAATATATATTAGAAAGAGAAATTTTGGCGGGTACAAAATAAAGACTGCAAAATGCAAGGTAAGAGCGATGCTTGAAGATTATAAATGGGGCTGTTGATGATGGGATTGGGGCTAAAGTGTGCTGGCAGCATAAAGGTATGCATAAACCAGGATGCTGTCGGCGGTTTCGGCTGCATATTGACCTTGTGCATAGGCACAAGTTATTGTGCTGAAGGTCACAGCGGACACTCTTGAAGGGTGATTGGTTTGACTGGGCGAAGGATTGCAGAATCGAAGCAAGCCAGCAGCAGAGCGGGGATAGGCGTTAAGCGTCAAGGTTCTTGAGCGGATGAATTTTGATTTGAGGGCAATCCCGGGGAGGAAGCGCTGATTCAGTGCTAGGATTGTGGCCCATGGTCTGGGCAGCTTCAACTTGGAACTTATGATTGAACCCGGGCCACACTGAGTCAGTGGCCCACTTTCGGCATTTGATTTGACCAATCCGATTTGTCGCGCTGCTCTTGTGTTGTGGCCTGGCCACCGAACGTTTCTCGTGTTGCTGAAGCTGATCTCTTCCCGGCATGGAAGCAAGATGCGTTAGGAGCTGGAAAATGTCCAACCAACCCTGCAAAGCGTTTGCTTATGCTTGCTGACAATGATGACAGAAATCGGCACGATATCCGACCGCACGTGGATGGAGCCGGCTGTCGCACCATCCCCTTGCTTAGAACTTACACATGTGCTAACTTCCATGGTTCTCAAGATGAGTTTCTCGATGATCGCACGATGGTTCAAAATAGACACTTCTTCACGTGAAGCTCTTACCACCGACTTGTGTTTTTACAACAACCGGCTTGTGTTGGAGGCATCGAGTGTTGACTGCGGGCAGCCTTGATCATCCCCGCTCTCACCACGCCCCAACCCCTGTTAGCAGGCGTCACAAGACAGCCACCCCACTTTACCTGGCACAAAGAGCCTTCCCGACGTTCTTCAACCATGCAACTGCAACCTGGGACTTTGTTCTGTTTACCTATGCAGTATGCAGCCGCATTCATGGCTACCCCTCACCGCACTACTTCCGTCCTCAAATCGGCCGGCCAAACCGGTGAATCCACTCCGTTACCCCGCGTCCCCACATTATACCCAAGCGCCACGGCCGCCCCCTCGAACTGCGCGACGGGCTTTATTACCCTGAAACTCGCGTCAATCGCACCTGAGTGACGAGTCTCAAAGAACTCCGAGCGGAACAGTGTCTGTGCGTTGTGCTGGTGCAGCAGCTTCATCATCTCCGGCAGTAGGTAAGGCATGGCGTGGTAGTGGCGGAAGACGGGCGAGCCGTGGCGTGTCCACAGCTCGGACCAGACCTCCTGGTCGTAGGTGCCGCACGAGCGGACCAGCCATTGCGAGTAGTAGTTGAGAGAGACCTGTACACGATACAGCTGATTAGCTGGAGCTCTTCCAATGGGAAAGTGCGGGGGAAGAGCCCTACATCAATGCCATAGCTGCCTCCGTGGTCTGCTCTTCTCACTAGTGCTTCAAGGATGGCGGCCACTCCCGCAACGCCAGTACTATATAATATCCACGGCTGTCAGCTGAAGACAGCTAGAGTTCAAGGCCAACCGAGCGAACTCACCAATAATCTGAGTTAGGGAAGACTGGAGTTACAGGTTCATCCAAGCCCATCGCCTGCCCAAAGCTCATCGATACACCACAACACTATTGCAAGATTGCAAGTTAGCCGAGTGAGAGAAAGAAGTATTGGGTAGGTGTACCCACTGCATCACTAATCTGCTGCCACCCACTCCGGTGGCTCCAAGGCCCATGCCACCCATAACAATTCTCGCGCACATGTAGGATCCCATATGATCGATCTTTCACCAAATCGAAAACTTCCCGCCGACTGAACCCCAGACGATCCATCACGCCGGGCCGATACCCGTCTACGACGACGTCCGCCTCGCGGATCAACTGCCGCAGTCGCTCCCGGTCGGCTTCCTCCTTCAGGTGGAGCGAGCAGTTCCATTTCCCCCAGTTGAGGTCGGGGTGCAGCACCGACATATCGGTGACATGAGGCGAGGTGACCCGCATGACGCTCGCGCCAAGCTCGGCCAATCCCCGGGTGATGGAGGGAGCGGCAATCACCCGAGTCAGATCTACAACCTTGAGGCCGGCGAGCGGTCGCTTGGGTGATGAGGGCAGGCTGGGCTGTTCATGCCACCAGGACGGAGGCTGGGCGGCGTACACATCCTTCTCGATCTCATATAAACCCACGTGGCTGTTTTGGCGACCGTGCTCCGAGGCGAAATACTCGTCCGAGGTCCATGCGATCGTGCCGGCCTGACGGGTCTGTTCGTTCATTAGGTGGTCCAGCGTGGCGGAGTCGTACTGGGAGACTGCTCCTTGGATGCGCTCGACGGCTGACTGGTAAGTATCTTCGGCGGGTCTCTCGAGGGGAAGGCCCAGCGCTGTCAGGGTTGGGTCGGGGTTCATGCTGCCTGCATGCCGTGTCAATCTGATGACTCTTCTTGTTGATTGCAAGGGGCTTTAGAGGGCTGGGACCTACCATGTACATGGTAGAATCGACCATCCTTGGTCTTGTAGATATTGGTCGCGAGACGCCGATGATCGCCATCGGTCGCGCGATGTCTGTCCTGCTCGGGAAATAGCTGAGCCATGCTGGAGCCGAAGAGGTTGATTGGTTTTGGCTTGCCATCGGAATCAACTATCTGTGCAAGTAGCGGACTCATGAAATACAGCGACGCATGGTCTCTACGACACGACACATTGTCAGCTAGATGCAGAGCCTGCGTTTCAGCTAGGTGTGAACTCACGTGTCGATGGTGACTCTGACCGGGTCAACCTGATACTTTCGAATTACCAAGTAATTGACCATGGTCGCTTCGAATGCCTTCAGCGCGGAGATACTCTCTGCAAATCTCCAATTGATGGGGATGCTGGGCTGTGCGGAGCCCTCGAACTGCACATATCCACCTAGCTTCGGCAGCTCTGGGGGAAGATGGCTGAAAAGTGGATTGTTCAGGATGCCAGTCTCGAAGACCTGCTTCGATTCCTGGGGGACCGAGTAGGTGGATGCTGATGGCATTTTGCCTGTTGGGATTTTCGGTTAAAGCAAGTATATCGGTCGGCAATCGGAAAATGGAAAACAACACACTGGGGGGGTCGACGCGGGTTATGAAGGGGAACCTCACGCTTATCATGCTTGACCTCCACATGAGCCCATTCTACAACACAACAACATCACCCTTGTCCCAACCCCACTTTTCACATCAACCTGCTTGGTTGCACAGCATACGATGGTTGCGTGGTGGGTGCAGCGGCCTGGCGGTCAGTCTCCGGCTGCTGGACAGAGCAACTGATCGGCAGTGTGACCCACTGCGGTTGTGATGGGGTTGCGTGGATAATTTTGAGCTTATGCAGGCTTAGCGAGACATTATTTTTTAACAAGGCACTGTATCACTCCTCGTGAAAGGAGGTCATAATAAGTTTGGTGGCAACCGTCTGTATGGCAGGTCGCGATCTTGGCTCCAGCTCTATCCACACTACTTTAAAACCGCGCAGAAGCGGACGAAAGCCCGGTTAAAGTATACGCAAGGTAAAATCTCTGAGATTAATAAAGGTGAAAGATGTAATAGATAATATTTTTCTTCGCAGCAAAACAGTCTAAAATCAATGAAATGCCTCTTCAAGATAGAAAAGGGATGTTCCATCCGGCGATATCCGATCAACCCCCTAGAGCTCGACCTTCTCAGAAGCCTTGCGCTCTTCCCAGCGGTTGAGGATATCCTGAATACTCAAATCAATCGTCAGCTCAGCCTCATCCTCGCCACTATTCACATTAAGTGACAACTCGAACGTCCAGCCGCCGGGTGGCGTGAGCTGGACGAACCGCTCCCGAAACTGCCGGGGCAGGACTTTCTGAAACTTTGCGCCATAGTCCTTGACCTTGCGCAGGACAGCCACCACATCCGGAGAAAGGAAGACCTCCTCGAGGAGGTAGTGCTCAATATTCTGCAACATGTCGGCGGGCGTGGCGGTGTCTTCCTCCTCACCGAGGTGCATCACATGGCCGACCACCTGCTCCAGCTTGGGCAGGAGGGCGCGAATGTCCGGCACGAGGCCATCGACGGCGCGCTGGAGGAGACCCACTGTGAGCTCGAGATCGTTCAGGTCCTCCACCGTGGCCTCCTCCAGGAACTCCTCAACCAGAATCGCGGCGAGCCCCTTGCCGAACATGAGATCGCAGACTTCCTCAATCTCCGCGAGATGGTCCTCCGCGCGGCCGGGAAGGAGCGCCAAGAGCTCCAGGACAACGTCGTTCATCAGACGCTCGAGGTTCGTCACGAGGTCGGCGCCGAGAGCGTACGCCTCCGGCTCGGGCTTCAGCACCATGATGCTGCCTTGCTCGCGCAGGTATCCCTGCATGACGTTGTCCAGCAGAATGGTGTCGAAAGCCGCGGAGTGCGGGTTCCACATGGCGTAGGCGTGATACGCCTCGAGCTCCGCACTGGGTTCAGTACGGTTGGGTATTCCCATTCCAATCACCGTGAGAGCGAAGAGAACGGGGTAGAGGAGCATGACAGTGATTTGAGACATTGTCGCAGGGTTAGACAAGGGTAGTAGGGCTTGGGTGGATAAGATGCACACCGTGACTAGTGTCCGTCGGGTCTGGTGATGGTAGACTTTGACCTTGACGAATGAGCCAGTGATGATCTTGGGAGTATAAAAGGATCGGCAACGGCTGTGGCTTTATACCTGTTGACATTGGCATTGTTTGTTTCATGAAAGATCGACAACCACCACTTTGGCGTAGAATCTCGGGAACACTACAACGAGGAGTCTTTAAGAATGCCAGGTCTCAGGCGAGTCTTTCAACATCCTTGCCTGGATAGGTTCGACTTTTTCTTGCAAGAGCTGTTAAGCTTACAACAAAAGGTTTTTCTAGTTTGTACAAGCTTTTAATTTAAGCTATGTCTGTGCTTGATTATCCTTTCTTTGTTCAAAGAAGCACGCTCATAGCCCTAGCAGTAATAGTCTATACATACTTATTCACGGCCCTTATACTCACACTGCTCTTTCTCCGTCATATCATTCATTGTCATAAAGCCCTATGGTGAATCTAGAAGAAAGAGTATGAGGTCACTAGGAAGGTTTAATACCTCAAGTGCTTCTTACATAGGTATAGAACGCTTATAATTTACATAATGAAAGACATACTATCAAGCTGTAAAGCTGTGATTTGAACGTTTCTTGCAATATTATGTTATGGCTTGGTTCAGTAACGTGAGCCAAAACAAGATGACTTGGGGAAGTATGTCACGCTGTGAGGTATGAAATCAACCCCGGACCTAACTTGTAGGCTGTCGGCCGAATGCATAGCCCAAATAGATGGAACCCTCATGACTTTGAGTTATAACATAAAATGCTCTAGTCCCGCAGTCTGAAAGGACGTAACCCTAATCGCAACGGTTGGCTCCTCTAACAGCAGCCCAGGGCTTCAGCAAAGCGATTTGAGATATCAAGAGCAAGTCGTGATCTATCACTGTATGAAAACGTTTCAACCAGCAGGTAGTTACCAGGTACAGGATCAGAAGGAATCCTTAGTCTTCTGTTCTCTGCCATTTTCTCCGGTCTAAAGGGCACAGACAGCTTTCTAGGACTGGGGGAACCAGGGAGAAAAGCCTTAGTAGATAAAAAGTTCTTGTTCCCTTTCTCAACTTTTTTATTCTTCTTTCTCGTCTTCTTCTTTCTCTTCATCATCTTCTTTCCACGTCGGCAATCTTGCCAGCAACAATCTACGAGAGCGAAATTGCCGACACCTATCAGCCCTCTCCAGCTCTCTCCGGGTCTCTCCAGCTCTCTCCAGCTCTCTCCAGTCCTTTCCTGTCTTCTCCGGTCCTCTCCATTTTTTCCAGTCCTCTCCAGTCCCCTACAACTGGAACATTGCCAAGACCTTCCATCCACCAAGGCTGCGGCTTTCGACGTTGACAAATCAACATTTAATACCGGGAACAAGCATTGTGATCCACAGCCACAGGTAAGAAAATGCTCGCGAGAGTTCAGCAAGACTATTCCCATGCACCTCGAGCGCCCTCCCCCCCTCCAAAGATTCAAACTTGGTGCTGGGCTACTTACATTTGCTGACTCATGAGACATTCAGAAACAAACCCAAGACTTTACTCAACCGTGAATACTTCAATCAAAATGTCAAACCCAACCCCAACCCCAATCCCAGGTCCGTCCCCCACCCAAAGCTTAGAGTCCCGACTCTAAACCCCAATCACCAAACTAATCACCCCCCCAGCCCACACCATCACCACCCCATCTCCACCACAAACCCAGCCGTGCACTTGGCCCGGCCTTTCCGCCTACAGCGCCAACTGGGCCTGCGCCATCAAAAACAACCAGAGATACCTCGCCGGCGCCCTGGGCCTCCCCACCACCGCCAACCTCTGGGACCTCATCCACACCGACACCCACCTCGCGCCCGTCCTCCGCAATTTTATCTCCGCGAGAGGCACCTGGTTCGGCGCCGACGGGTCCCTCCGCCCCGGCCAGAAGCAGACCTGTTTTCACACGCTCATGAAGATCGTGGGCGACCCGACCCAGCACGTGCATTTTATTCGTCCTGACACCCCGCCAACCTGGGCGAGCTGCACGGCCCGTAAGAAGTTCACTGCCTATGCGCTGCTGTGGTGGACAATGGCGGTGATGCGCGCGAGACCGCTGCTGTTTCCCGGCACGGATCTGACACCGGGCGCGGAGCGGGTCGATGCGTTTGAGGTTTTCATGGCGGCGAGGCTGCTGAACTACGTTTATCATCTTCAGGCTCACTGCGGTGGATTGGAGAGGCAGGCGAGGCCGAAGAAGGTGGTTCCGGCGGTTGATCCGGTGAGGAGTGGCTGAGGGTGTATTGGAGGGGGAGGTGGGTTGGGATGTTGGGTTCTTTGGTGAGGCGGTTGGAGGACTGGGAGTAGCCATGGAGGGTAAGCGAGATGACGATGGAGAGTGAGGATGGGGAGGGATAAGTGACAGGGAGAATGGCTTTGAGTGTACTTGACAAAATAATTCGTGCTTTGTGACCTAGATTGAAGAAATGGTAAATGAGATGCGATTCTCTGTTGAGAGTTCTTTGGGCCAGAACAAGATTTGCTCCTCAGTCGGGTTGACGCATCTGATGATTGGCAAATTTGTGGGCACGCTTGCCCTGGAGGCTAAGATGTTTCTGGCTGAGTTACAGTGTAAATAACGAGATCAGAGCCCAAACCCCGACATGTCTGAGGCAAATTAAGTGGTTTGGGAGAACATTGTGAATTTATTAGGAAGAAATCTGAGGAGTCAGACAGCACATTCAAAAGGAAAAGCAATTATATTTTGCTTCTGTCAAATTTTCGCCGGGGGGGAAAGAACTCGATTCACTGACTTGGGGCCTAGTCCCAACATCAGTTCATATGATTTACGCATTGATTATTGCCATTTTGGAAACCCTGACGATTGGTCTGCTGTCACTTGAATCCAAAAGCAGACTTTAACGATGCTCCCGGACGCAGACAACACCTGGAGTCTATGAATCTGTCTTTTTACGCTATCATGGCATATTTGGCGACTGGTGATTGAAATTCTGGCCGAGAGACGGTAGTCCAGACTCTGGTGTAGTGGTTGGGTTCTGCGATGCCTGAACCTCAGATCGAGGAATGTGCTGTTGCTGTTGCTGTTGCTGCCACTGTTGCAACTGCTGTTGTTGCAATTGTTGCAAAGTATAATTGTCGGCAATGCTGTTGTTTCTGGATAGGCTAATTTGCGGTTGCACTGTCAGTTGTGGATTTGATAGTTTTTGTTGTTGTTGTTGTTGCTGTTGCTGTTGCTGTTGCTGTTGCAGCAAGTGTTGTAAGGTATAATTGTCTTTCAGGCCATTATTGCTTGGCATATTCAGTTGAGCAGGGAGTGTCAGTTGTGGGCTAGGTTCTTGCAATTGCAGAATGGAGTGCTGACCCAGGGGAACAACGGGAGGGGCCTGAATACCGGTCTGGAGATTGCGGGGGTCGCCTGGATAAGGCTGCCCACCGCCGCTCAAACTCCCCATTTGCGGTTGGTTCGAGTGGCCAAACGGCGAAGGGGTGGACTGTATGCCTCCCGGCGCGTATACAGGCTGCAACCCAGCAGTCAATTGCTGAGGAGGCTGCAGGTTGAGCACCCCCGATCCATCATAAACATAGTCGTCTCGTCGCACCATCGAGCCTCGATTGCGTTCCGCGTCGTCTTGCCTGTTCTGAGTCGTCCAGATATATCTGCTGAAGTTATCGGAGACCGTGAAGACATTGACAAAATAATGTCTCCGGAGCTCGATCTGGGCCCCCTTCTCCGTGTGAAATGCGGCCAGCGCAAGGGCACTCTGGAAGGCATTGCGGATCTGCCGGCCGTTCCAGACAGGGCCCGATCCCGGGCGGGCTTGCGCGTAGAAGATTTCATTCGCGAGGCTGGTCAACTCCCCCTTGTCAGCAACGACCCCGGCCTCGTTCGCCACATCGATGTGACTGGACCAGATTTCGTAGGTTTGCGGCCAATTCAGCGGCGGGTAATACAGTGACATGTGGATCCGGGACTTGAAGGCTTCATCGAAGACTCCGACTCGGTTGGTGGTGAGGAATAAGATGCCCTCGTAGTACTCCAGGGTGCGGAGGAAAACTGATCACTCGGATGGTCACCCAATTAGCGGGCACGTACTTGACCAGGATTACCAGTTCAATCTTACCAGACACCAGCGCATTTCTCTCCACGTCATATGCCCGGCGTTGAGCCAGGAACACATCCGCTTCATCCAAGAGCATGATGCAGCCCCAGTCCTGGGCGAGACGAAAGACTTCCTTGAGCTTCTCCTCCACTTCGCCTGCAGTAAGTCCAAGATCACCACATGTTACAGGGAGTAGAGGTCTGCCATTACTTATTGCCGCGCACTCTGATTCGAAATTGTCAGGGCTTGGACCTATAACAGACTCAAGAATCTTGAGGACATACCAGCTGTCGACGTTTTCCCGACGCCCGGGACCCCATGTAAGAGGATCGTTACTCCATTCCCTGCCCCCAGCTTTTAGCGACGACACTGAAAGGACAGGTAGAGGGGTAAGGAACAGATGGCATACCTTTGTTTCTCAACAAGTCAAAATGCACACCTCCAGATTTCTGTTTGGCAAAGTGCGAGTGGATCAAGGACTGCACTAAATCCTTGTGGCCATCTGGGAGGCGCAATTTCAACCAAGGGTTGTCTTTCTTTGGTCTCTCCTGCAAGCGCTCAGCGCCATTGGGTCCACGCCCGATCCGAAGACAAGCTGTTTGGACGGCGAACCCCATATGAATTAGCGAAAGAGCACCATGCAATCGGGGCCAGTCTCTACCAAGTACGTACCCCATCGTCTGGTCGACAGCACGAAGGCAAAAACCCGGTCGGGCAGAATCATCAGATCATCACCAGTTGGCCCGCCTCCAGTCTTGGCCCAGGAGTCCCACATGCGGTTCTGGGCGTCCATAAAGTCATCCGTAAATCGCTTATCCCAGGTCCCATCCTTCTCGATCCCGAGTGCTGTTCCTGTCTCAGACGTTGAGGTTTCTCCAAAGGCATGATCTACCGTCACGGGGCGCCACCAGGGGATTTCCCCCAAGGCACGGGTGAAGTCCACAATCACATCGCTGTCGATCTGTTCCGAGTAGCAGGAGGCGCTCCGGGGGATTTTGTCGACTAAGTCGGTCAGTTTGCGACCAGAGGGGTCCAAATAATGACATCTGCCACTGTAATCCAGATGCAAAACTTTCTGGGTGCAGTCGACGAATTGCTTTCCCCGGGCCATGAGGTGCGCTCGGTCGGCGAATCCCTCCCGCTCCGCTACCGGGAGCGGGAGCACGGGGAGCGACTTGGCGGCCTGAACGCCATCAAAACCACTAATTTCGAACTGACGGAAGACAGGAATAAATCGAACCCCGTCGAAGTCCAGATAGAAGCAGTCTAACACCAGGGGAGCCCAGCTACCAATGCTTTTTTCGTCGTTGAACTGCTCAGAGGTTTCCAGGATTCGACGGCCGCCGGTCCGTTGCACCACCTTCCAAATCTTCTGGGGAGGGCTGCTACCTTTGATATAGACCAGAGAACCTTGAGCAAAGACGAACCAGAGATCAACGAAGCGTACCATGTCTGGAGCAGCGGCCAGGTGCGTTTGTGCTGGACGAAGGGTATCATCCATGAACTGCACCAAGCAGCGACAATCCATGATTAGAGCCGTCAGCTCTAGGACCCCGAGCTCTGATATATTATCTTTCGTGTAAGCCATGTCTACCACTGGAGAATCATGAAGAGCCTGTATATACTCCTCTTCGGATGAGTCCTGCAGTTCTTTCCGGATGGTTTCGAACTCCGCCACCTTAGACCGAATTGGCTTGTCAAGATAGAGTAGCAGTTTGAATGGTCGGAGAATTGACAGGGGGCTCTGACCATTGTAGGGCAACTCCCCGCTGCAGAACTGATAATCAAGAAAGCTCTTTAGCCGATGGCAGTTGAGGCGGATTCGTTCAGGCATGGTGTTCAGCGGCAAACAGTCTGTGGCTTCTCCGGCGAGGATGGGTAATTCCATATCCGATGCCAAAGAAGCACCAAGCTGCTGAATATCGCCAGCCGTTGGCTCATTGTACGGAACCTCAACAGCAAAGCGCTTCGGGGGCGGAGTCCTAAGAAGGGCCACTTCGGCCCAAGGCAGATGACGGATCTGTGCCATAGAGATCTCCATTTCCGCGGTGTCTTCCTCCTCGTCTTTATTTGACTCGTTCTCCTCCTCCCCCTCATCCTGTTCCTCGCCCCTATCGTTCTCGTTCTCCTTTCGCGGCCCATCTAGTAGCGCGACCAGCGACTTGTTCATTTGCCGCAGCATCTGCATCTCCTCGAAGAGACTGTCAGAGATATCTCGTAAGGCATCTTGCCAGTCAAAGCTATGGGCCTCCACAACTTTCTGAGTCCGGCTTTCCAGCTCCTCAAACTACGAGAGCGAGCGTTTGCTGGTTTCAAACCACTCCTCCACTGTTGCCCGTGGAATTACATCAGGCGGGGTATGATCGGTCTCTGACGATTGATCCTCGTGTCCGAGTTGGAGGGTAAGGTCAACCTCCGTGGTAGTCAATGTGGTCGTCATGATTCCAGGTGTACCTCAGGGTTCAAAAATCAGCGTAAAAGATGGGCAACCGAGTTGGAGAGAAGCCAAGGATCTGTCTCCATCAATGGCGGCAAGCTTTATAGTTCAGTGCCTAGTCCAGAACCAGAAGCTCGCTCAATATTCCAAGCTACTATAGGGATGCTCAGCTGTGCTCAGCTGCCGCATATACGAAACTGTCAAATGTAGCGATTGGCGGTCGACTAACATATGCAGTGTGCCGGTGTGACCGGACGTGCTGACGTGCAGACTCATGCTAAGATATGGGAAATGGTTCGTCCGCTCGGACCTTCTCCCGCATACGTGGAAGCAAACAATGTTGAGGCAGCTATGCATGCGTACGGTGCCGGCGAACTCCGGCGAACCAGGTGGCATGCGAGTCTTTTCCGCGGGGTTAACCAGGAGCGCCCATCTCACTTGGACCCCACCTCCGTAAACGAAGAAGGGCCCTCATCTGAAGCGGACAGCGACGGTCGACAATCTCAGCTCGCTCAACCACAACATGCGTCTATGAAACATTTTCGACGTCTCTTTTCAAACCATGGAACCCGCAACAAGGACCGTCACGCCCTGGATCCAACACAATGCGCCCAAGATCGACCCAGCTTGGGCGTTTGCCGAAGCACAACGGCTGAGGAAGCAAAAGATCCCGGATCCCCCGGCTCGGTGAGTCGTTCGTCAAGCTGAGTTGGAATGAATGTGTAGCTGAAGGCATGATCCGCGTCCACGTTCCAGTGTCGCAAATCGGAAGGAGCGATTCAAGAGCACCATGCGGGCATACTTCAAAACGACGGGAGACAATCAGGCCCAATACATCTTCGAGCACACCCATACATGGGAAGAGGTCCGGAGCGAGGCACAGAAAGCGCTGGACCTACGCTACCGGCAGAACGGGAAAAGGAACTTCTTCCGCAAATCGATTCGACTCGTTGGGGACGTGGCTTCCCGGCTAGAGTTCCTAACGCAGCTAATCCCCAGCGGTGATTATATGGGAGTTCTCTGCGGAGGGCTCAAACTCATTTACAATGTGCGTCCGGCTTCTGCTGTGTGTCTGTCGCATTTGAGCCTGGATTCCCGCACAATTGTTCCCCTTGCTCTCTCACGATACTGATCTTTCTTCTATCCAGGCAGCGAATCGCATGAGTGCCGTTCGCGAGCTCATTCTCGGGTCGTTGGATAGTCTATCGCAGCCGATTGAGGATGCCTCACCCTACCTCTATACCTACGCTTGGAGCAAGACGCTTCTGGAAAAGGCGCAGGACCTCTATATGAGCGTCCTAGACGCGGTCGATGATCTCACGCAATGGATGGCCAGGACTAGAGGAGGTAAGAATTGCGTTCTTGCCATTCTGACGGCGTGTCTCACTCCCGCGCAGTGGTGCGAGGTACCTGGGAGAGATCCAAGGCGTTCGTCCAGCAGGACGACTACGGTCAAGATCTCGAACATCAGATTGTCACTCGTGTGGGAGAAGCAGCGAATGCATTTGAGAAAGCTGTCAAAATCTGCTTGAACACCGAGGTCCATGATATGGGACAGAACGTGGTGCGTTTGGGCAAAGGACAGGACGAAATGATAGACGAGATGAGAGACGTAAAGCGGATAGCCGCAGGCTCGTGGGAGAGAGTTGAGGCAATTCTGCTGGAGAGGTGGAAGCAATTACAACCGAGTGAGTCCAGCATGTGCTCCATTTCTCAGAAGAGTTGGCCTCCTTGGTGCTTACTACTGATTTTTTTTTGTCTAGTGGTTGATGACTACAACGCCGCGAAGGCTGCTAGCGCCGCGCGGGTGTCCATCACCATCGAGCAGCTCCTCACTGCGCTGCACTTCGCGAATCCATTTTCCGAGGTCGATATCATGGGTTGCACGGTCAACATTATAGCCACTGAGCGAACCACATTACTTCTCTCCGGTAGACTCTTGGACGATGATGCCCAAGACCAGGTGGCGGGTGTGCTGCAGGATGCCCGGTTTCGCAGCTGGCTTCAGGACATGCGTTCCGAGGTCCTGGTTGTGTCACGCATGGAGGAGGATATCTTAGAAGAGGGGCCCGTCTCGCCACTGACCTATCTCTGCTCCGTGATGATCAAGACTCTTGCCCCCGCCGAGCGCGTGGTGCCGATGGTATTCTTCTGCCGCCAGCACTGCGATTCTCAAGATAGCTTCGCCGGTGCTGCAGGAATGCTACGGTCGCTCATCGCCCAGGTGACCCTGAATCTCTACGAGACTCACAGACTTGATCTCACGTTCCTGGTCGAGGAGCACCTGCATACCATCGCGACGCAGGATGTGTCCACCCTGTGCCATCTTTTCGCCGAGGTAGTCAAGAGGGCCCCCGCCGGGATCGTTGTTTGCATGATCGACGGGGTGGACTTTCTGAGCAATGAGCTTAATCTGTACTGGATGGATGGGGTGATGCGGTTTCTGAATAGCCTTCTGGGGGTCGTGGCGGGCAGCCGGTCGGATCTTGTATTCAAGGTCCTGGTGACCAGCCATCGAGGAGCCAGTCTAGCGTCGCAATGGTTCCCTTATCGAGTGGAGCTGCCCATGCTTAGTAGCGAGACAATGTGCGGTCTTGAGCATGCGACTGGAGAGATGCAGTCAATTTTCTAGCAGTGTTGCCACTGCCCCTGTAAGAGCAATTTTAGTCGCAACACGGTGGCGGATCACACGATGATAAAAGAGAGCCTTCAGATAGCTTCTGAGATATCCATGCAGCAGCGAGACAAGTTTCAACATGAATCATAAGCTTTTCATTTCTTTGTTACCACTTTCGGAAGTGCAGACCCATGCCTACCAATCTCTAATTCACGTACCAGCAGCCGCACGAGCATGAGTCAGAAGACAGGTAACTTACCGAAAGTCGACTAGGTCTGAGATAAGCAACAACATCTTTTCTTATAGACCCGTCGTCTGATAAGCATTGGTAAGCATGCGGCTCCCGACCGGTACACGCTAAGGATTATAGGCTTGGGGCCGATGTCAATAAAGCCCGGTATATCCGAGCTGTCCAGTGAAAGGCAAATCTCACTACACGAGTGACAATAATTATTCACATAAGATTACTACACCTCTAGCTCGACTAGCACGCTATGCTTATTGTGGACGAATCATTATTCGCTCAGCCCCTTAATCACCGTAATGTCAATTGAAGGGCGCTAGTGCGCGGACGTCAGTCGAAGGGCGCGCGTCTCCGGTCTACTTAAACTCGTTGATCGCCGTGCAACACGATACGCCTCAACTTTATCTGAATTTCCTTTGATTTGAGTTTTTTTTCTACTATTTCACATCCACTATTTCACATCAGATCTGTCCACCATTGATTCAAATCAACTCAGCCGACACTCCACTCCTCCTCCCCACCCATCAACCCCGCCTCAAGCCCAAGATGGCCCACTTCCATTTCCGCCTCGCAACCGCAGCCGACGCCCCGCGCCTGCGGGACCTAATCGAATCCGCCTTCCGCGCCGCCGACACCCGCGCCGACTGGACCGGCGACCTATCCCTGGGGGCGCGCTTCCACGTCCAGCTGGACGACATGCTCGCGCGCATCGCCAACCCGGACGGCGCCTTCCTCGTCGCCACCACCACCACCACCGAACCCCAAGACGGAGACCAAAAAGATGAGGCGGAGGAGGTAGTCGCCTGCGTCAATATCTTCAAGAAACAGCTCCCCGATCGGGACGCCGTCGCCCGCCTGGCGCTTTTGGCCGTCGATCAGCGCCATCAGCAGGGCGGGCTCGGGCGGCGCGTCATGGTCCAGGCGGAGAAATTGTGCCGGGAGATGTGGGGGGTAAGGAGGACCGGGCTGAATGCGCTGGATACGCGCGTCGCGTTGATCCGGTGGTATGAGCGCTGTGGGTATGTAAGGACTGGGGAGGTGACGAGTATCTCGCTTCCGCCGGATGAGTTGAGGCTTGTGGAGTTTGAGAAGGAGTTGGCGGTGGGGGCGGTGTGAGGTGGCTGTTCAATGATGGATTTAGATATGTTGGGCTATTGAGCGGATTGATCAGTGTGGGCGTGTGGTGTGTGGTGGGCTGATGAAGGTTGCGTGCTGCGATTACGGGGGATTTTGGAAGGAATCAGTCTGTCGGAGAGAGTGTGTGTTTGGTGGTTCATTTAGACTTGGTGTGTTTAGGGGGGTTGCTCGTGGACGGACAGCACTGGGGGTGGTTGATACACTGGGGGTGGTTGATATTTTCGGTGTTGAGATGGACATCTGGAGGCTTGCCTGTGCTTGTCACGCATTTTCAATTCTCAGAGGGCCTGTGACACTATATAGAAGTGTTTGATGACTATGATAATTATGACTACGAGTGGACTTCATGCCGTTTGGGCGGTTCGTTAAGTTCCTAAAGTTGATGGCTTTCTCCATCAACACGAGTGCTGCACAATACTATGGACATTATAAGATATTCGGAAGCACCAAAAGATGATAGTGTTCTTCCTTAATTGAAGGCTAAGTCTTACTGAGTACAGCAGAGCTTGGGTCAGTATGACTTGTGGTGTGAAGGATTCTCTCATTTAGGCATGAGCGGTATACCAGTGACTGGAGGTAGACCAAAAGACTTGACAATAACTTGAAAACATTACTACCGAGGTCCACAAATCGACAAGAAATCTCTGCGAAGCTCCGCAGGTCAGATTCCAGAACGCAATACAAAATTAAATAACAAAATACTACCTCCTGTACAAATGAACCAGGAATCACAGTTTATCAAACACTTCAATAGCAGCTAGGGCGGTCGACGTCGCACTCGCCGGGTTCTGCCCTGTCACCAGCCGCCCGTCCACCACGTGGAAATCATCCCAGATGCCCGCAGATCGTTCATCTGTTCAACCCCAGAAAATCAGCTTCTCAATCGGAATTGTAGGAACATGAATGAAAGGAACTTACACTTCGCCCCTAACCGCTGCGCCAGTTCCTCCACCATCTCCGCTCCGAGCCCGCGCAACTCCGCCATAACCCCCATCGTCTCCTCGGCTTCAGTCGTGAATCCCGTGATCTTCCGCCCCTGGATGATCGGGGTACCTGTCGCCCGGTCGCGCAGGTCCGCGAAGATAGCGGGCCCGTGGCACACGGAGGCCACCACGCCGCCGGCCGCCCACACCTGCTCGGCGATCTGCTGCAGCGCGCGAGCGGTGGGGTAGTCGATCAGCGCGGCATGGCCCGCGGAGGCGTAGAATAGCCCATACTCGGCCGCTGGGTCGGCGAGGATCTCGGCGGCGGGCCGCATGTGGTCGAGCTTCTGTCGGAACTCGCTGTCCACGTCGTTCCAGATGGCCAGGTCCTCGCCGTGCAGGAAGTCGGGTTGCTGGGAGAGCCAGTCCGCCGTGTAGCTGCCAGTCTCCGAGGCCAGATCGACCTCGAAACCGGCGGCCACGAGGGCGCGGTAGGGGTGCAAGGCCTCACTAATGAAGAGACCGGTGCGCTCCTTGCCGTTAAATAGAGTGGCGGTGGCGGAGGTTACTGCGATTAGGGCTTTGCGGGCAGGCATGTTTTCGATTGCGTAAAATTGTGAGGGGGAGGAAAGAAAGGTATGTTCTGTCGAGAAGGTGTTGGATACTGTTGTTATGTGCTTCTGCTTCTTGTTGATTCTTTTATCCCATTGGGGAATCTTTCAGCTATTTATGCTTGCTCCTGTTGAATACGAGAAGACGCGGTCAAAGCGTGGGACATCCGGAGTTGCGGAGCTGAGGAGTTGCGGAGTCCAGCGCCGGCCCGGAGATTGCATGTTATCGATAAGGAATCGCTTTGCATCCTCCCGCAACTCCGTCACCCAAGTAATTAGTACTGAAGCTCATTCACGTGATGGTGCGAGCGCACTCACTCCACTGACAGACACCTTCAATCCGCGTCAGCATCTCACCCCTCATCAATCCTGCTAGCACACCAATCCTTGACAGTCGATGAGCACGTCCCAGACTTACCACCAGTCATGAGTGCTCCAATCACCAGACTGCCCAACACACATCGTCCCCGAAAGAGCCAGCAGAACCAGCAGCAGCAGATCCTCCAACGGCGCAAACGGGCGCAGGTTGCCCGAGCGTGCGGCAATTGCCGTGTCCGCCGGATCCGATGCGACAACCAAGTCCCATGCTCCAACTGTGCCCTAAGCCGGACGGTCTGCAGCAACAGCAGTGCGCCCGTCGCGCTCACCCTGTCCCAGGCCCACCAGGAGATCGCCTTGCTTAAACAGAAAGTCCAACAGCTTGAAGCCGAGCTCGAAGGCTGCACTTGCAGCAATAGAGACAACCTTACACCCGACTTAGACTTAACCTTGCGCGAGCCGCCAATCGAGATCCAAGTTAAGGGACCGGGGAGTGAAACCCACCAAAATGCCACCCCGCATCCTCCCTGGGGAGGGATCCATTTTCGACCGGCACGCTCATCCAACAGTCTGTGGCTGGGCCCGTCCTCGCTGTACTCGTACATCCAGCGGATCAGTGGCTTTTTGAGCCTGCAGTTGGACCAGGAGCAGCCCGCGCATCAGCTGCTCCCGATCTCCGCCAGCGACAACAAGCTTCTCGACCGACCCACCACCGACCCGATGAAGAGCCTGAACCCGCTGCCGAACACCACGGCCTCTGTCTATCTGACTCCCCTGCAGGAAGACTTTTTCATCAACTACTTCTGGCAGACCTACCACGTTTCCCTCTTCTCCATCATAAACGAAGCGCACTTCAAGCAGCACTACGCCAGTCTTTGGACGGCAGGCGGGAAGGAACGGGGACCGTCGGCGCTGGTGGATATCGTGGTGGCGATGTGCATGCAGTACCACATTTCCACCCTGCCGGCGGATTCGCAGAGCGGGCTGTTGGACGGCCAGGACGCCCTCGTGGCCGGCCGATGGCACTACTGGCGGGGCCAGACGCTGCTGGCCTACGAGCTCGAGAGCCCCTCCATCGCCACGTTGCAATGCCACCTGCTCTGCGCCGTCTACCTCTGCGGGGGCTCGTTCCACAACATGATGGACAGCACGGTGAGTCTCGCCGTGCGCACCGCCTACATCCTAGGTCTGCACGTAGACCCGCCGGCGAGTCTGCCGGAACCTGACCGCGAGCTGCGGCGGCGGCTGTGGTGGGTGGTCCATTTAATGGACACCCGAGCGGGGATGAAACTCGGGCGCCCGTTCATGCTCCCCGACCGCGCCCGCCAGGCCATGCCCCAGCTCCCAAGCGACTCCCTCGCGACCGCCGCCGCGTCCGGCTCAGCCTTTGTACCGATCGGCGAGGACGCGACCTGGTTGAGCTTCAACCGGTACCAGACCACGCTGTACATCGCCATCCGCAACGCCTACAATGCGCTGTTCACCGCCGATCTCCATCTGAACGAAGACCAGACCATCTGGGATGACGCGGGCGCGCTGGAGACTGGCGCCCAGATTTTAGCGCAACATGCCCCGCGCGTGACCGAGTGGGCGGAGAGCGTCCCGCGCGCCCTGCGGCTGCAACGCGAGGGTACAGGATCGGACCGAGCCTTCACGACCAGCGGCACGCGGCTGCTGCTCGAGCCGTTCACCCCACCGTGGCTGCAGCGGCAGCGCGTGCTGCTCGAGCTCACCTACCACCACCAATGCGCCAACCTGTACCGACCCGCTATCTCCTTCCAGTGTCGTCCGCCACCGGGCGGTCACGCCGAAGGGCTGGCTCGGCGCTGCGCCGCGCACGCCATCGCCGTCTCCCAGATCTCTCACCAGGTGATGGAGGAGACCTCCCTTGTTAACGGGTGGCACGAGGCGTTCTACATGCAGTGGAGCGCCGGCATGACCCTGCTGGGGTTCCTGATGATCTACCACCACGGGCCGATGGCGCCCGACGCGCGGACCGCGATCGGGCAAGCGGTCGCCGTGTTCGAGCGCTTCCGCGCGGGATTTCCCGTGGCTGGCCACGCAAGCAGGATCCTGCAAGGCTTGCTGAGCCAGGCGGATCTCGTCGCTCGAGCGAGTGCAGAAGTCCAGCAGCGAGAAGAAGAAGGGCGAGGCCTCGGGGACGGCGACCCGGGCTCGTCCGCCTCCGCCTTCGATGCTGCTTGGGACTTGCCGCAGGATCTCGACGTGGATTGGCTATACCTGGCTGGGGATCTGGATTTCTGGAATCAGATCGAACTGCTGTGGCCTAAGGCTTCGGATCAGTTGGACTTGACTACGTTCGAAGGGGGACCGTCTCCTGTTTGACAGGGAGTATTAGAATAGTATCTCAAGCGTTTGCCGGGTGCGTGCAACATGTCCAAGAAGCAGTGATTGATATAGAAATAGAGCAAAAAAAAAAAAGCAAAAACATACAACAGAAGGGATTCGCTGGTGGTCACCCACCCAACTACTAACCTCCCGGCGTGTGGCTTAAGTACGGCTGAGCGGACGGGAAGCCCTGTTTTCCACACCCTGTGGTCGTATGTACTCGGTGAAGTTGGCGGAGTGTTTATACCGAACAATCTCTGAATCAGGCGTTGCATAGTCAACAGACACAAGCTGCGAACGGGGATGTAAGCACAATTTCTTACCCACAAGCATCTCCTGCATGAACCCAGGGATCCGCTTACACTTTTTTTGCCCACAACTTTTGACAAAAAAAATAATAGATTCAGTAATCAACAGATAGCTAACTTCATTTCAGTGTACGTGATCAAACAATGTTGGTTGCACCTGTTTTGATACCGTGGAATCTTTTCGTCGGTATGTTCCGCTAGGATTCAAAAAATATATCACCGCAGTTGCACCATACACCAACGACATCACATCGCCACCCTGGCACCATCACTCTCACCGAGGAAGATGACAAACGGTCAGTACACAATACACCTAAGATTGTTCACGGACCCAATTCCCAGTCTACTTGATTCCCACATTAGGCAGTATACCAGACCAAGAGGAAAGCGCTACAATCACCACAACGGCTATCCAAAGACTGAACTCCAGGTCAAGATATTGGACAAAAGATGGTTGGCGCTCGAATAGGGATGGCGTATATGCAAAGATATATCAAGTTCATTGGAGGGAATTCAAGACATAATCCTGTTCTCTGAAATTGACGGACCTCAATAATTCCTTGACAAGCATCTCTTATCTTTGCCCATTGCCAAACACCTTCTCCCGCAGCCTCCTCGCCGCCAACTCCCTCAACTCCAATATACTGCCCCCACTCTTCCAACTCCAACGCCGTCACCCCCACCGCGAGGTTCTGCTTCCACCAGTTGCGCAGCTCGATGGCCACCAGCGAATCCACCCCGACTTCCGTGAGCGACATGCCCAAATTCAACGGCTCCGCGCCGTCCTCTGCCTTGCGCATCAAGAAGTCCGCCACGCGGTCGCGCAGCTCCCCGGCCAGGAACTCCGCGGCCGCCGGCTGCTGGAGTCGGGCCGGGTCGGTGCTGACCTCCGCGATGAAGGATTTGAGCATGCTTCTACTGCTGCTGCTGCTGCCGCCGCCGCCCGTAGCATCCTCGCCCTGCGCGGCGACCGTCTCGATGTTGCGGTAGATGGCCATCCGCGGGTCGCGCTTCCAGATGATGTGGTTGTCCGGGTGCGTGATGGGCAGTCGGGACTCCATCACTTGAGACTCCTGGCTGGGGTTGTGGAAGACCCGTCCTAGTCCCGCTGCGGTGCCTGGCGGCCTGCCATCGCACGGCGGTCGGGCCGATGACCGAGCTATGGTTAGTTGCAGCGTGTCGAGGAAGTCCTGCTCTGTGAACAGCCGGGCGGAGCCCGCCTCCATTGCGCTTCCCACTGCAGGGTTGTGGCTAATGAACCCAACGTCATTGATAGCGCCGATGTCCTGCCTCGAGGCTGGGAGCCCCTGCGCATGTCGATACTGCACAAACGCGTCGAGGAATGTGTTGGCTGCCGCGTAGTTGGCCTGCCCCCAGTATCCGACTTGGCAACCCACCGAGGAAAACAGCACGAAGAAGTCTAGATCTGCATTGGACGGACCCAGCGCCCGGTGAAGGCTCCAAGTGTCTTCCACCTTGAGCCGCAGAGGGGTGCGGTAGTCGTCCACGGTCATATCCAAGATGCCCACGTCGCAGAGCACCATCGCCATTTGCATGACTCCAGCAATCGGCACCAGTGCTTGGTCAATCACGTTCTGCACGGTGTCGAAATTGGCAACATCTCCGGCTACAGCTTGGACTGCGCACCCCCTCAGTCTCAGCTCATGGATGAATGCCTGGTCGTCTTCTGAGGCCCCCACGGAGCGCGACAGGAAGATGAGGTGCTTCGCACCATGCGTGACCATCCACGTGGCAATCGCCTTACCCAGGCCTCCCATACCGCCAACAAGAAGATACGCTCGATCTTGGCGGAAGCTTGGCTTGGGAGTCTCTGGCCGCCATTGTAGCGCACGGTTGGTGTTCTCTGACGTCCGGATGACGACCTTTCCAATGTGGGAGCCTGTCTGCATGTATCGAAGCGCTTCTTGAACATCGTGGGCATCGTAGAAGGTAACGGGGTGGATGGGCCGAATATGACCATCGGCGTAAAGGTCCAGCATGCGTTTCATCTGCCTGCTAACCTGCGCCGGGGCGGCGACAACGGACAGCGCCAGGTCGATGCCAATGTAGGCGCGGTTATCCTCGAACCGGTCGAGAGCCAGCTGGCCCCGACCGAGCATATCCCGTTTCCCGATCTCCACCATGCAGCCACACGCCGCGACACACTCCCACGATGCGTGTAGCAACTCGCCAGAGAGAGATTTCAGCACGCAGTCAACGCCAATACCATTGGTTGCGACCATGATGTCGTCTTGGAAGCTGGCATTGCGCGAATGAAAAATCCGATCGCGGGGGATTCCGTGCTCGCGAACTAGGAAAGCCGCCTTGGGCTCTGAGCCGACCGTGCAGTAGATCTCTAGCCCCAGCCAGCGAGCCACGGTGATCGCCGCAGTGCCAATGCCGCCCGCGGCCGCGTGGATGAGGATGGACTGCCCGTTCTCGAGCCGTGCCTTATCGACCAGTGCGATGAGCACCGTCACGTAGACCGCCGGCATGGTCGCCGCATCTTCGAAGCTGAGGGTGTCGGGAATCCGCGCAGTAATGCGCCCCAAGGTTTGTGTCTCCGTCGCTAGACTGGATGTGGTGTTATTGAGATAGAGCACCCTGTCTCCAATTTGTAGGTGGCTGACGACTGCTCCGACCTTAGTGACGTACCCCGCCCCCTCCTTTCCCAGGGCGATATTCGGCAAGCCACCGTCGACCACACCCATGGCCATGAGCACGTCCTTGTAGTTCCAACCATCACCTTGTCCAGAATGTCTATATCCCCAGCCAAGGTGACACCTGACGGACTGTTCTCGCAAGCGATGCTCACTCCTGGAAGGAGGAACTGAGCGACCTGTGTCTTTCCCAACCCGACGGCTGCCATGCCCCCTTTTTGTGGTGCATCCTTGCAGACATGCCCGCGGTAGAACGCGATAGTCATGGCTTCGGACTTTGTCAAAGCGCCTGATGCATAGGAGGCAGCAATCTCACCGCTAGAATGCCCAATCACTGCCGAGGGCCTCACGCCCCAGAATGCTAACAAATCGACCAGTGCAATTTGAAGGGCGGTGCAGATCGGCTGGGAATATTCCGCCCTGATCAAGACGATCTTATCATCGGAGTAGCAAAGAAAGTCTGGCAAAGGTCTGTTAATCATGACCCTATGCCAAACATAGATTTTATGCGAACTTGCCTTCGATCGACCAAGCAGGTGCATGCTCAAGGCTCTGTAGCACACAATCCATTGATTGAATACTCGCCAAGAAAGATGGAAAGTTAATGATCAATTCACGTCCCATATGTATCCTACACTTGTTAAGAACTGTTCCTGATAAGAAGCATCAATACAATCAGACACATACCATTGCGCTCCCTGCCCCGTGAACACAAATGCCGTCCGGGTCAAGTTCTGGCAAAGTGCCGGCGTAGGCCCGGACAGCGGCTGACTACCATCAGTCACACAAAAAGCCCTGTATTTCAAGCGCTCTCGTCCCTCAGAGAGATGTGAGCAATCATTTCCAGCCGATCAGAAAATCTGGAGAAATAGTTTTGGAAGTTTCCGGTCATTGCCCTGACGGCTTCCGGGTGTCCGGCGGAGAAAACCAAGAGCGTTTTCTTCCGATTCTGAACAGCCATTGGCAGCGGAATGGGACTTGAGATGCCTAGGCCAAAAGACGCAGCGGAATCAAGGATGAACTAAATAGAAGGGTCGATACTGACGGCAGGATAGCACAAGTGTTCGTCTTACATGGACGTTAGATCAACCTATGCCAAACGAGTTCACGCTGTTGCGCTCGGCACGATCCTTAGGCCAGGGGCAAGGCTTCACTGGAACCACTAGCTTTGCTTCTTCCCATGGGACTAAAAGTCTTCTATTAGCCAGAAGTTTCGAAATGTCAATACCCATATTGACTCACTGGCTGAATTGGGCGTATGAAACTTGATATTGGGAATGATGGTCTTGTGCTCCAACGAGATCACTGCCTTGATCAGACTTGTGAGAGCCGCCGCCCCTTCACTATGATCCAGATTTGGTTTCACCTACCCCCGGATCAGTTTTCAACAAATCGCACTCGGAGTTCGAATTTCGAATAAAATCACGTACCGCGCCCAGATAAACCCCCGCCCCCCCGAAACACTTGGCGATTGCGTTCGCCTCAATCGGGTCACCCGTAGCGGTTCCTGTGCCATGCGCCTCAACCATCGCTGTCTGGGAAAAGTCCAGACCCGCGACAGAGTAGGCTTCACGAATGGCGGCCTCGTGTGCAGCGGCGCTGGGGGCACTGAATCCGGGGGTCCTGCCGTCCGCATTGCTGGCCGAAGCACGTAGGATGCCGCGAATCGTTTCCTGATCCCTGCCTCCGCCTGTCTGGGCGGTGGAGGCCTCATTCCCATGAACGTTCTGGGCCGTGGGATTCGCAGTTCCGGAACATCGGGGTCGAGCGGCGCATAGGTGGACATTACCGCTCGTATGGAGATCTTCGTGCCCTCACTTTTGTCTTCCGTCGATAGGATAGAGCCCAACTCAAGAGCGGAATACACGGCCAAACACCCGCCGGAACTCTCACCGCAGCATAACACTCGCGAGAGATCCGGGAACAACCCCGACTTTGTATATTCGTCTGCCATAAGTGACGACAGATCTTGCTGCATCCATCGCCAGAAGTGATCGATGTCCTCGAGAATATCAGTCACGCTCGATTCGGGGAGGAGTCGATAGTCGGGTCGAATGATGATCATCTCGTGGGTGCGGGCGAGGTCCAGGAACCATTGTGCAAACCAGGGTTCGTAGCGGCGGTGGCCCATGAGAAAGCTCCCTCCGTGGAATTGGATGAGTACGGGGCATCTGCGTCTGTTGTTGTTGTTGTTGTTCGTGTTCTTGTTCTTGTTGTTTTTGTTCTTATCAAAGCGGGAGCGGGACAACAGATTAGTGGGAATAAAGAGCGTGGCCTCGAGAGCATGGTTGTCCACCATGCGGTAGCAGAGGTCAATAAGGGTAAAGGGATCAAAGCGAGACATTGAATCTAGGATATGTAGGGTGCTCGTTTCTGTGCTTGGTGGACGTATCAATAGAGAAACATGTGTGGGGGAGGAAGAAAAGTGGGAGCCGAGTACCTGCCAGAAGGCAGCTTTGATGGTGCCTGGTGAGTGATAGTAGGCGTTCAGGACAATTCACTGCACCACACAAATGTGTTTACTGTTAGCCCACCAAACCGAAGGACCACTGCGTATGTGGCAGTACATGAGACAGTACTGTAACGACTACTACAAGCTCTTCCCCATGTATCGAAGGCTTGCACTACAATAAAACTTCATCGAAACTTTGAATTGGGGAAATCCCGAAAGCGCGGATTCATAACAGTAGTCAATGATGTACAGGACGTGGTCCACATCTATCCATCTGTAACCTTATTTTCTACCCTGTAGCTTGTCCCAATTCTCCCCGGTCCAGCCTAGCTAGAAGTCGAGGCTTCGATACTTTGCAGGTGGCAGTGGATCCGTTCATGCATGTGATGGCCTTCAGGCCCCTTTTCTATGATTCACCTACTCATTGCGTTTAATCCAGACTGGCAATAGCTACGCTGGAAGACTCGCAGCCATCGGAGCGGGCGAGTCGGAGGACAACCGACCGTACTTCTAGGCCTTTTCGACATACTCCGACGAGTCTGGAACGCCCTCCTTCATTTGCTGAAAAGTCTGCTTTAAAATATGTTCTTAGCAAGATATCCGGGAACCTGCCTCGGTAGTCTCTGGTTACACGTTCACATCAACTAGAAATCCATTAAACCGATCTATTACCGCCTGCAGCCTTTTCTGAACTTCCCGTGTCTCGGTCGCCTTGCATGGAACTTGCCTCCAGACCCGCAGGGAGCGAGACGTGCGCGTTCGGGTACCGGCATCGCAGTGCTCTTCGTCATCCCGATTGACCTGTTGGTACTGATCCAACAATCGCCAAAGCTCGTCCAGCGCATCTCCACACTCTCGCGAAATTCGGTTCAGTCGTTGTTTCTGTCGATCTTCAAGCGCATCCTGTGGGTCTAGGTCGTCGATGGCCTGGAGAACAGTAGAGAGGCGTTTTACCCTGGACCGGATGTTGTTAGAATATTTCTTTTGAGTTGCAGGTTCTGTTCAACTGCGTGAAGGATTGGAATGATAGGGTGCATACTCTTGGGACAGCGCTTGGAACTCATTCGGCGCATCGACGAAGCGCCTGCCTAGTGTCTTGACGAACTGCAGCGCGGCGAGGAGGTCGCCGTTGCCGAAGTCGAAACCCATCCTTTTTTCAGATTCAAATATTTGGCTCACCGCGGGTAAGGCAGGGATCTTCGACTCGCGGTATCTCCAGAAAAGTTCGTTCTGAGCGGGAGTGACTTAAGCACTCTGGTATGGAGCGGTGGGTTGTAAGATCGAGACACTTTTCTTTCGCGGGTGTGGCGCAGCGTGAGGCTGAGACGGGTGGAGCATAGAAACTAGGAATTCAATGCAAGGCTAGGCCTGGCAGCCTTTTTCTGTGACTACCCCTTGCACACATTGTAGGCGAGTTGTGATGGAGCGAATTGAAGGACTTTCACCAATTCGAGGCTAGAAACGAGTTGGTACTATGCTACATTAACTGCCGGGGATAAGCTCAGTGACGAAGGAAGGCAAACAGTGCAATCAGACGGGCCATGAAGAGAAAGAACGGACAGATCGAGGGTATAACAGGAGAGCTTGGAAGTTGAGATCGAAGAGAGCAAGGTACAAAAGAAAGAAAACTAAACCTCTAACCACCGGAAAACAGACCCGTACAGATGGCCAAATCCAGCTCATCCGCCACGATGGCAAACACAAACGGGTGATCGAATATCAACTCAGGGATATAAGGGGGAGGTCCACCGCGTTCGAACATTACCGCTGTAGCTGCGGCGGCCACCGTGCCCTTTTCATTACACTCCACACTCAGACCCTGAATGATGTTGCCCGCCTGATTGTTTCCTCCCATGTCTAGAGTTGGGAAAGACCCGTCAATCGGAAAACCCAGCGCCTGCAACGTGCTGTTGAGCTCATGTTTCACCTGAAGTTGGAACCGAGGAAGACCGAGCCTGCCCACTCGATGCTGTGCAAATGAGGGAATTCGCCGGGTACGCAGGATTTGGAGCATCTCCTGAACCGGGGTATCTTTGTTGGGTAGGTAGGCGATCATCGACCACTCCGATGGCGGTGTGCACCGGTAGGGCAGGCGGACGGCTGTGTACCGTTCGCCCTGATAGACGAGCACCTCCTTCCCGTGCTTATACATCATATCCACTGTGGCAGTTGCTCTCAACCCGTTCTTTGTTGTGGGGTAGAAAGGGGCACAGCGGACTGTGTCGCGCGGATGGAACGGCTCGGCCCACGCGGCGGCGAAGATCAGGGCGTTGATGAGAGCTACGACCGAGCCGCGCAGGTCGTCTGCTGTCAGCAACGACGGGATCCTGTGGTTTGTTGTCCGGGAGATCCACTTGTTGATCTCAGCCACGCTGTCGGCCAGGTTTCGGAAGTGTAGATTAGCGTCCACCTTGAGCCCTTTCAGATAATCTTGGTATTCTGGTGAGAGGCAGACTTCAGTTTCAGCCACGAGCCCGTTGGCCGAGTGGAACACATTGTCGGATTCGAGCATTCGGCGCATCCTCGGGTAAGTGGCTTGCAGGTCGCGGAGGCTGCCGGCGCCGAGTTTAGCGCACATCTCGCGTTGCTTGGGATCAACTGCTGCACCGGCGAGCATAGTAAGGGCCGAGAAGGTGGAGAGACCGCTGACAAGGGTGCTGTTGCTGTAAGGGGCGTTGTCGTCGGTGCGGAACTGGATCAACAGGTCCCAGCCCAGCTTATTGATTGTGCTGATGACAGCACGGTCTTTGGGGTTTCGTGTCGCCATCTTAGCTGCTGGAGAACCGCTTTTCTTCAGAGGGTTGTGCGCTGGGTGAGATGAACTGGAAGGAGCAGTTTGTTGTGCTTCAGAATAGTGTGTAAGTTGGTATGGTGAGAAAATCCAAGTGATTTGAGACTTACAGTGCAGGAATGAGGAGGAGTGCAGAGATTGCGATGAACTATGTTACAGGCAGACGATGAGTCATTTGACGATGATGGAATGCTTACCGCCGCAATTCCTAACGCGTGTGTTCTTGCGTGTCGGTTCAGGAGCAACTCGTCGTGTCCCTGATCCATGGTTCTATAGTATGAGACGGGTGTGTCGGCACCTCTATTCATTCGAAGATGCGCCAATGAAAAGAACAACATAGTGACGGTACTAGAGCCCATATACCATAATTGCATATGCCTATAGACCGAAGCGCAGTCTAAAACACATCTTCAAGAGCATGTCCAAGTGCCCCATTGCTGGGCAAACACCCCAAGAAGCAGTTTGACAGAGTGGCCTTCAATCGGCTACTTGGCTCAGGGCTGCCAGCTGTAGCAGGTCCCCCTCAGTTAGCTGAATTCAAATGCCTTTATATTATATAAATGTACGGTGTGATGATGTAGAGCGAGGAAAGGGTGGATAGTTTCCAGCCTGGTAAAGATTTACTGTCCCGTGCGCGCGCTACATTAACCTCATTTTGCTCCTTCCAAAGTAAGCCTACTACCAAGCTAACGAGCACTTTTGCTCAGGCTTAACGTTTAATTCGATGGTGGGGCACTGACAATAATATAGTGTCCATTGCATACATCGGTTGGCTCGTAATAGTCCTGCGCGTTTTAGTTCTAAACTATGTATTGTGCTTCTTGGTCTGATCCGAGTGACAGCGCAGTGTTCCAAATCACAACTACATGACACCAGTCATTTCAAGTTATTGAGACTCGAACTGTATCATATGATACTTGGGGCTTGTTACACCAGGATAGTCAGCCTCCTTCACTATTCCATGCTCTGGAAACCCCCTTATTTCGTCTGAGGGGCTCTTCCCTTTAATCCTCAAACAAGATACGCTCAGTATCCGGACACAAGTGCTTACTTACCATGCAGACACCTCAAGCACTCCGCATATTGTGATAGGTCCCTAGCTTATTTTCTTCATGCCCCACGCCAAATCCAACCAAACAGCAGGCATCTCAGTACAACTTGAAGGTACCGCCTAATATCGAGCTCAACCCCTGACCTGCTTGCTCTAGTTGAAGGCATCCCGTCACGAAATCTCACTGACCGGCCAAGCGCAATTGTCAGTCCACTCCTCGCAACAGAAAAGCCACTTCTCCGCAGCACAAGCACGCACGGGCGGAAGCGACGCAAGTTGCCCCAGTAGCCCGCTGTCATATCAACCGCCACCCCACATTCATTGGATGATAAATGATTGCAGCCCGTATTAAACTCTTAGCAAAGTCTTCTGTGCCCGTGCGATAACGTGCCATGCTCCTTGGCAAATAGACCAAACCCTTATAAGCGCTTGGTCCCTTCCCCAACTCTCAATAGTGCGACTTCATTACTCGGTCACTCACAAAACCAAAAGCACACAACCGCAACATGCCTTCCGAGCCTGTGGATGACATCATTAAGTTCCTCGACGACATTAACCCCGACGAAGTAGGCAGAGGGGAGGTGGATCGTCTCCGTCTTCGCGCAGCCGCGCGTCGCCTCATCGCACGGGTAGAATCCCCGTACGAACAAGCCTGGGGCTTGTGTTTCGACCAACCGATTATTTTCGCCGCGATTCAGACGTGCATTGATGTGCAGCTGTGGAGTGAATGGACAGGTGCTGGGGGTGGAGAAAAGTCGCTCGACGAGCTCGTCCACCTGACGACGCCGACCGTTGGCACCAATCTCCTACGCCAGTTCTCTCCTTCGGTGTCCCAGTAACCATGTCCGTGTGGCTCGAGAAAATGCTGACGAGTGAACATAAACAGGTCGGCTTCTGCGCCTTCTAGCCGCGTTCGATGTGGTGGAGCAGACTGCCGCAGACAGATACAAGCCCACGCCATTCTCGCCTGCGATCGGTGACGAGACCACCAAGATCCGTGATTCGCTGCAGGCTGGTTAAGCAACCCCCCGTTCATGACATCGACATCGCAAAGTGTCTGTGCTCATGTTTCCTTTCTGTCGTCTGTTTCTCAGGACATATCAATACCTCCCTGCAGCCTTGAATCTACCCACCTACCTAGCCAGCATAGGCTACCGCGAGCCCACGAGCGTCGAGCGAAGCAACTACGCAGCGACCGATCCAGACGGCCTCAGCTTCTTCGCCCGGCTGCGAACCAGTCCCTCCTACTTCGAAGCCTTCACAGGCCACATGGAATCATGGACCGCGAGGAAGACGCCGTGGACAGCAGTCTATGACACCGCCCGCTTGCTGCGCGAGTCGCCGCTGGAAGAGGGCACCGCATTCGTGGTCGACGTGGGCGGGAATACCGGGATTGATATAACACACGCGCAGCAGAAGCATCTGGACCTTCCCGCGGGAGCATTCGTGTTGCAGGATGTCCGGAAGATCATTGGAACTGCTCAAGTCGATGAGAAGACCTTGGCAATGGCGCATAACTTCTTCCTGCCGCAGCCGGTTAGAGGTGAGAGACATCCTTACCGGCCACCCTTCCCAAGATCGAACGGATAAGAGTACTGATCAATTGCTCATGATCCAGGGAGCCACATCTATTTCATGCACGCCGTGCTCTATGACTGGCCGGACGACAAAGCCAAGCAGATCCTCACCCACACCAGAAATGCAATGAGGAAAGGGTACTCCAAGCTCCTCATATACGACATTGTCCTCCCTTCCACTAAGGCAAGCATAATTCAGGCGACAATGGATGTACAGATGATGACGTTGCTTTCCGCGTCAGAACGCACAGAGGCAGACTGGAGAAGGCTTTTGACCGATACGGGCCTGCAGATCTGCAGGTTCTGGCCGGATCCGCGGGAGTATGAAATGATCATCGAGGCCGAGGTCGCGGAAGTACCGGGCCGTCGGGGAGAGGCACATCTCTAGATGAGCGAAGCAAGCAACATAATGATCTCTTGTCCGGGAAGGCTGGGATATGCCAAAGATGTCGCCGGGGTGGGACTCACAAACACTAGCAAGGCGAGATTCGATGCTCCCTGAGTTTTGAACATCTTCTCCTTGCCACACAGTATGCGTCAGATTTAGCCTTTCGGAATGGAAGTTTTTGTTGCGCCGGGGTCGAACCCGCCGGCCATCTCTGGCTGATCATGACTGTTGGTACGCGAATACGCTGGTGCGAAGCACGAGCGGAATATACAGCCGGTCAATCCACAACCCCCAAGCGATGGACTCCGGGAGATAGCCTATTATTCATTTGGTTGCAAGCTCTGTAGCTTGATCAATCGAGGCAGGTGACAGCAATGCCGCCAGGTAGTTGTAACCAATAAAAGGTCACGTCGGAGCCACGGACAAATGTCTGCCACCCGTGGGAATGGAGGAGAGGCTATCTCGGGAATGCAGAGAACAAAGAAGCTGACCAGCAGGAATGGCATTTCCAATGTCATAACCCCAAGGAATCTAGCTTGACATGTGGGAGAAGGAAAAACGTGAGCTGCGCAGTCAGTACCTTGTGCCCGAAAACCCGCTAGTAAATCGATTTTCAGGCTGTTGCTCCTTCCGTCCCAACATTCTTTACCATCCCGAAGCTTTATTCTGAAGCACTACCCCTTCCCTTGGAGTATCGGTGAGTGGACCTGGAGCTGTCACAACATGCCCTCTAGTGATAATGGGAACAAATCATTGGGGCCTAGATTGGAATGTCCTCCATGCCAAGCATTTGACACTTTCGAGCAAGACGAGGAATTAACGGAGGGAGTTATAAATAAGGCTCATACTTGAGAGAGCCTGCAAATAGTCTCCGGGGTAAAGAAAAAGGTTCTGAGCTTGCCCAGTGTTTCGAAACTGTGCGTATCGCATTCAGCCTGTTCATCAATTACGACCTGAGAAGAAAATACTTAACACTATGACCCAAACGGTGCTAGCCCTTCTGGCCCTGACATCCTTCGGTATGCCTATCCTGGTTCATTCTGCTCGTAGTACGCAAATCCCCCGTTGATCTAACACTTATCAACAGTGACGGCCGGGCTCGCACCAGTCACCAGAAATAGTACCTGTGCACAATGGTGTCAACAGCTTAACCTCGACAAGACGTGCAAGCCATTGGCAGCCAAGGGGCAAGGTCCCTGTTATACCTGCGGACCTGCCCGAACGGCGGCGAGTCAAGAACTCTGCTCTGGCATCTGCACGGACACCAGTACGGATAGCAAAAACTGTGGATCATGTGGGGTAGTGGTGAGTGACAAAGGATAGAGTCCCAGAGTCTCCCACCAATCGATATTTACTCTTTCACAGTGCCCGACCGGATCAACCTGCTCCCAGGGCGTGTGCATCTGCACGAACTCAGGCTTGGGTCTCTGCAACGAAACATGCCCTTCTTTCGATTCCGATAACAATCACTGCGGGGAATGTGGCAACGTGGTGAGTTCATCTCCTCGCAGGGGAGTTCGCAGTTTCGACGCACAGAAACTAACTCGGAGGGCGTTTGCTTCTTGCCCGCCGCGAGCGTCTAGTGCCCTGCACCGTCAACCTGTCAATCCGGGACTTGTGCGCCATGCGCAAGTTTCCAGCCGCAGACTATATATGCGGTCAGAGACCTCCCGTGGGGTGTAGCAGTGGGCGATTTCAACCAGGATGGCCATCTCGATCTTGCCGTGTCGAATGCTGGAAACGAGACCGTAAGCATCTTGCTCGGGACTGGCTTGGGGACCTTCCAGACTCAGGTCGCCTATGCTGCTGGCAGCGCGTCTTTTCAGGTCGCCGTTGGGGACTTCAACGGTGACGGTATTCTGGATCTGGTTTTGGGCACGGGAGCCAATACTGTCAGTCTCTTGTTGGGAACCGGACCCGGAAGCTTCCAGCCACCGCTACAATTCTCCGTTGGGGATGGCGCCGTGGCCATCGCGGTCGGGGACTTCAACCAAGACGGCCGTCTGGATGTGGTGACGGGGAATCATGATGGAGACAGTATAAGTGTTTTGCTAGGGACTGGCGCAGGGAGCTTCCAGCCCCAGGCTCAATATGCCGTGCTGGACACGCCCGACGGTGTGGCTGTCGGTGACTTCAATCAAGACGGCCATCTCGATATTGTGGCCAGTAACGAGGGCAGCAACGTGGTGAGCATCTTACTGGGTAACGGCGATGGAAGCTTCCAGCCGCAAACTGCAGTCCCGGTCGGATCTGGCCCATATGGTGTGACGGTTGCCGATTTCAACAAGGATAGCCAGCCGGACTTTGCGGTTACAAACTCCCTGGATGCCTCAGCGAGCGTCTTGCTTGGGGTGGGAAACGGGACCTTCCAGCCACAGGCTGTGTTCTCCGTGGGATCCAACCCGAGGGCTATCACGACGGGTGATTTCAACCAGGATGGTGATCTTGACATCGCGGTGACGAACATTGGGGGCTCCTCTGTCAGTATCTTGCTTGGGACGGGGTCAGGGGACTTCCATATACCTGCGACTACATTTGCAGTGGGCAACAACCCGACTGGAATAGCGGCGGGCGATTTCAACGGAGACGGCTACCCCGATCTCGTTACCACGAACATACTGGATGCCACTGTTAGTGTTCTACTCAGGAAGCCCTGTAACACTTGAAACCATATGATTGAGCCTCTCTCACCCACGCCAGACATCCTGTCTACGGCCATGGGAGCATTTGTGATATCTGAATCCTAAACTGAGTGTATACATGCGGCGGAGGAAAGGTGAACAGAATATGGAACCAGGAATGCGGGGACGCAAATCGGACCTTGTCATGGACTACAGTGACGCTGGCTTGCTAAAGGTTTTTGATCTTGTTAGTACTGTAAAAGCCTGAAGACAGTTATTAGTAGAAATAACATTTCACTATAGAAGTCTTACTGGAGATTATCTATTACACTACATAGCAATCATTACAACCCCGAATCGGGGAACATCGGCTATTGGCACAACATGTTCCCGGCTGTACCCTATCCACTATTCTATTTCGATGGCAATGCCCAGCCAGTGAAGGAAGCATTCAATTGACGTGACCATAACAGCGTAGGACGATGATTTAAATTAGCCTAGCAGAGCTTCCTCATGCACTCCACTTTAGCCTCGCTCGTTTGCTTTTTCGGCCACTTCAATACGACCTTTACACATCTTGGACGGTACATCGACCATCTTCACTCAAGTCCAGGCCGCTCACAACCGAGATATACTTGAGCTTGTATATTCTGTGTCCCAGGGGCTATTCGTGTTAGGCCTGAGTAACGTAGGCCGATGGCCTGATATGTATAACCAAGAGGGACGTTACCCGAGCCCTCCCACCTCCTCGAACTCCCTGGGCCATCTCGGCCGTCGAGATGTCGAAAGCATCACGAAAATCCACTTTTAGGGCTGTCCCGCTTCCTGGACGTGTTACTTAGTAAGCGACGACAGGGGTTCACCTCAACCCAGCCAATCAGATCACCAGCTGAGTCGAGATGTCAACTAATCACGAAAATCCACCTTTAAGGCTAAGACATTGGGCGTGCTACTTGGGACGCGTTGACAGGGGTCGCCTCTGGAGGAGCCAATCAGATCACCAGCTCCGGCGAGATGTCGAAAGTATCACGAAAATCCACCTTTAGGGCTGCGGGAAAATCAGACGTGTTGTCTGGTACGTGTTGAGATGGGTGCACGTGGGGTTGGGTACCTGGCGTTATCTGATCGGTCAACTCCATTACTGTCAACTCCATCGATCGTTCGATCTAGTAAACAAAACCCATAATGTGATTGTCCGTCGCAGTGCGCTCAAGACCCCGGCGAGTCGACGACACAGGTCACCCGAAAGAGAGACTCGTTGACTAGAGTACCTGCGGAGGCTCTGTGCAGGGCTCGCGGAGGGTTGCGCGTTGATCTGTTCTGTGAAGAAGCTGAGCGTGGATTTAGAATGAAGAGAGAGGGATTTCAACGGTGAAGAGCAAGCAATCTTGGGGGAGAGATACGAGAGACAAAGTGGGTGGTCTTACACAGAGTTCAGGCTGCCACTGTCACCATAATCGTTGGATCTCAACAATTAACATCGAAATGCAACCGACCTGATAGATTGTTATCATAGTTTGATTATTATGTCGTGGTTTGAAGTGCAGGACCAGCTGCATAGCTCTATACTCTCTTCAGCCACGCACTCACTGACTCCACCGTGACGATAGATTCTATCAACGGTAGTGAGCGTCCGGTTCAAGGTAGCGGTTCGCTGCCAAATAATAACGATTGTTAATCTAGCGGATAGATGCGGTGATATTGTCTCCACATCTCTGCACTACGGACTGATGAAATAAGTCATCCAAGGACGCAGAAAATTCTGGCGGATCAGCTGTAGCTACGCCAGCTTTCGTGACTTATTTTTGTCTGGCGGGATCGAAAAGAAAAGTGATCCAATTGAAAGATAGTTATGTGTTTTTATCCTTAAACAATTCAGCCTAGGGAAGTACAGTACAACTTTCGTGGACTGCACACGTGATAGGAAAGAGGCTCACTCGCAAAAGGTTTCCGTTGCACTTTCCTCCCCCTTCCCCTTGTTCTTCTTGTTCTCCATTATGCTATCGCTCTCTCGGGTTGCCTAGTAAGAATCCGTGCATGAAGTGTCAAAATGGAGGCGGCGTCCGTATATCTAATGGTGCGTACGAGGTGTGCTAGCGCAGGCAGTGAGGATGGGAATAGGAGCACATCTGTCCTCTTCTACACCTGACCTATTGAAGAAAAGATCCAAGTAATACCTAGCATTCGACTGTTCCCGAGCACAAACTACCTGACAATATCTCTTCACCGTCTAGAGCTCCACCTCTCCCACCTAGCACCGTCTCCCTCCCTCATTCACAGAAGATCCTCATTCAAATCCCCCTAAGGAGTCGAGAATAAACCATCTCATCTCTCCTCCTCAATAACATACGGCCCCTGCAACACCTGAGTACTGCGAGTAATCACACGGCGATCCTCGCCCCCATCCTGCCCCTGCACCCAATTCACCTTGAAGATCCCACTGCGAACCGCGGTGATTAGCCTTGCTGTTGCGACACCACCACACAAGCCCTCTCAGAGGAAGAATAGGGAGAACGTACTGAACCTTCCCCTCATAGATCTTGCCATCATCCTTCCCGATCACGCGGCCCCGCATGCCGAACCCGAGAGTTCCGCCGCGGCCCTCCGGGTCGCTGGGGTCCGGGGTGGCGACGGGGTCGAAGAACTTGAACTCGAGGAAGGTGTAGCGGGTGCGCCAGTTCTGGACGAAGTTCTTGAAGTCGTCGAAGTGGAGTTTCTCGTAGTTCCACCTGTCGTTGTTATTGGAGGTTAGTGGGATGGGGTTCTGTTTGACGGGGGCAGGGGGAATGGGGGGAGGGGGATAGTTTACTCAAAGGTCGTCTCAGGACTGAAGTTGTCCTCCAGAAGTCTGAGAGCGTCCTCGTCGGAGGGGATCTCGTACATCAGGCTTGTTTCTGGGTTAGCGATAGTTTGAGCGAAGAGCCGCAGAAAGGGGGGGGGGTTCACCGCTGAATGCGCTGGACGTAGTAGAGCAGTGGGATGGTCACCTGCTCCGACTTCGTGGTAGGGGGAGTGGTCTTGCTGGGAAGAGGAATCATTGCTGAGATGATTTTAGACAAGGCTGATTTCATTCAAATTGCTGTTGGATACTTGCGCGGTGCTTGCTGGAAAATGTTGGCAGACAGGGAGAGTGATAGAGGTATATATATATCTTGCTCCGTCACGATGAGCAGGGAAATGCTCCGAATATTATACGAAGCTGACGACCCTGGTATCACGCATAGCCTGGACAGCATCAAAGCGAGGGTCAACCGTCCCTCTTCCGATTCGCGGGTCTGTGAAAGGTGTTTGTGGGGATCAGTCCGGATCTTAATTCCTCGTATCGGACTCACAACCAGATCTCCGGCTCTGCCACCCAAGATCGGCGTACGACATGGAAATGTCCGGTAATTCCGGGAGAACTGATCTTCATGCACCACGTAGCCATTTGCCTGGGAAATGCTAGACGACACTGACGTGGATTGTGTGCCACCCGTGTTGGCGATCTGGTGCGACTGGTCTAAGCCATGACAACGGATGTTGCCGCTCCGCAACATGGTTCATCTACACTGTGCAGTACAAATCCACCAGCCCTGCACAAATCAGCCCCAATGACGAATTTGCTAATAGGCGTCGAAGTCTGCACCGTCTGACTGGGCGATCACTTTCGCATCAGGAATTGTTGACTGCGCTGAGTGTCATCGGGTGTTCTTCTCCCGAGAACTCCGGATGCTAGAATACTTCCCACAGCAAGAACCATTTGCCCCACGGCAATGTACTACGGATACGGTGTTTGCAAAAAGCCCAGAGGTGCAAACTATCATCAACGTGTACAAGACAAGGGAACATGATGACGATGACTTTACAACTTAACTCGATTCGGATTCTCAGTTACCCGAACCCCAGCTCAGTCGAGGGGAGATGGAGAATGTTGGATGGAAGAGCCGAAGGGTGAAAGGCAACACAATGGACAAACACACTTCATTCACACTCATATACTCACCAACATGTGACATACTTAGCCGCGGATTTGATCTGAATATAACGAAAACCAATCTTGCAGAAGAATGCAGAAGATGATAAAGACCATCAGACAGCGACGCAATACTTGAAGTTTCAAAGCCCCCTATCCTCTAGCGCCCGCCGCAACGTCTTCTGAAATCCAAAGACATGCTCCGGTGATAGCATCGTGTAGTGTGCGCCTGCCACATCATGGAACCGCGGCTCCGACCGCGCGAAATCCTTCCATTTGACCATATGTTCATCGTACCACTGCCGCTTGGACGATGCCACTCCTGCAAGCGGGACACAGTAGAAGCAATCGATGCCCACCACCGACCCTGACGGCTCATACTCGACTGCCATTCTCTGCAGCCCGAACGCCAGACATGCCCACTTCAACAGACCATGCTTTGTCAGTGCGAGCTCTGTCAGCCGGCTCGAGTCGGAACTCGTCCACACGATCTCCAGCGCTTCCTCCTGCGAGATGCTGTCACCAAGCCCCGCCGCCAGGTCATTCGCACGACCTTCGCTCATCAGATCCAAGAAGTAGGCGAGATGAAGCAGACATTGCCGGAAGTCTAGCTGACGCATGCGCGATCGGATGTGTGGCGGAAGGTTAAAGGAGCCGAGAAACCCTACAGTATCCCCGTATTGCTCGAGCCGCTTACTGGTCTCGAAGGCGAGCATGGCACCGTATGAGTAACCGGCGATAGCGTAGGGGCCTTCACGTTGCGTGCGCTTGATTGCGGCATGATAGGTGGCTACTGCCTCGCCGATACTATCAAACGGCTGTTCAGACTCGTTGAAGCCTCGCGCCCGGAGCGCGAAAACTGGCCGGTCCTGAATATATTTGGTAAGGTTCAGGAACACAAGCACCTCACCCACCCCGGGGTGAATGAGCCAGAGCGGTGTCTTGTGGCCTTCGTTGTGTAGTACGACCACCGGGTTGTAGATGTGGGGAGCCTCGAGAGTGGCTTTCTGCAGATCTCGGAGGGAGTCCCCGAGGGCTCGGATGGTTTGGTTTTTTAGGAGTGTAATGATTGGGATTTCCTCAGACAGGTCCA